AAATGTAAACGTGTAGCTTTCAATAAATAACACGAAAAATGTTTATCTCTTTATAGTTAGGTTTAATTAGTGTATAATTTTGACGATATAATGATTTTGCGCGTAAATATTTTAGTGTAAAAGTCTTAACCTTTAAATTATGAAATATAATATTATTTATAGATACAATAGTATATTTGTCTAAAACATGTTATCCAACGTAACTACCTGAAATATCTTTTTATAATTGTTACTGTTTCATGTGATTTTGTCAGCTGTCTTCAATTATGACAACTTTTATTACTTCAAATATTTAAGACAATTTTCAAATGTTTTTTTAAAGTCTTAACACTTAAAATACTTAAAAAAAAAACTTAATCAAATTCTCTTGTCAAAGTGATATTCAATATATTATTGACTTCATGTGCTACAAATGTTAGTGTCTTCTGAAAAACTTTTCAAACCTATTTTTTTAAACCAACTTTAGACATTTTTGGACTTTTATAATTTTACAGCCCATTTACAAACTTGTTAAAAACTTGTTGAAACATATTTTTGATTAAAATATATTTTCTCTAGTTACAAATTTATTTTAAAAACAAATTGAAAACGTATTTTTATTTAGACTAAAAAGTCATGTTTTTTCTTAATCATGTTTTACCAAAAACTTATTGAAAGAGTTATTATATTATTGACTAAATGTCAATGTGTCATAGTTATTTTTTTTATAAAATTATCAAAAAATGTAAAAAAGAATAACAAATGTATTACACAAGATTTTAGTCAAATTTGTCTCTTAAAAAAGTTATAATTTTATTACAGATCTTTCAAAAAAATATGATAAGATTTTTTACGCTTGAAACCCAATTAAAACCTTAATTTCAAGCAAAAGTCATTTTAACATAAAAATATTTCATCTTTTCTTGAACAATATCGCATGAACGAAGTGGTACAACAATATTTCAACTTAATTATTTGATTTTAAATTCAAGGAATGTGATTTAAATAAAGAAAGTATTACAGTTATTTTTTTTATTTTTTCAAGTTAGAAATCAATGCTCACATCTTTTAACAAAAAGTACAGATTTCGATATAAAAGTATAATTTAAATTATTTTAAATACACTTGTTAGTTATATTGAACAAATCATACTCTTTCATCAAAGTTCATACAAAATGTTCAATTTATTTGTTTTAATCAATAACATTTACAATGATACATTGAACTGCACTATTATTTAAAAAACAACATTCAAATTATCACTCTGATCTTGATTTTATTTAATATAACATATTATTAAATATAAATTAAATTTATAATATAAAACAAATCACATCATAAAAGAACTAGAACAATAGGACTTTATGTAAGAACCACCAGCAATGAGAATGCTATCTCTAAAGTCACATGCATTGTGCATACTCCGCGAAACATTCTCAAACTGCAGGACATCATCCGTCCTTCATATTTATCATTAATTATGTAGTCAGTTTTTTTTAAGTTTCTAAAGACGCATATTATAAATAAAGAAATAATACACATCTTAAAAAAAAATAACATTCAATGTTATTAATTTAGTAAATCTAATAATATTTTATTATTTTTAATAAAAAATCGTGTATTCATATTCTTGTTACGTGTCGTTAAAGACACGTTAATTGTTGTTTGATTATAAATATCCAATGGATAAAATATTTTGTCTCGCCTTATCTTATTCTCCATACAACAATTACATATGCCTATATTAACTTTTGGGCAAGCATTTTACGACTGTACTAACGATTTTCAAGCTGATGCGGTCCTTCACCTCAATGAATGCAGATCTTATTTTGGGGTCTGAAAATCGCAGGAAATAAAACTCTGTTCCCTGAAAGATTGGTCATTGGACAATCGTGGGGTCTCACTAGTCAAAAGCGCAAAGAGTGGTTCGTGAGAGAGGTTTGAGTGCTGGAAGACTCTCGTCCCTGCACGTTAGGAAAATACTATATTAATTGGAGTAACGAAGTTTATAGCTACACCTATAAATTTCACGTTCTATTCCTTTTGTCTTGCGATCCATTTGGAATTGGAACAATAAAGCGAAGAGGAAAAAATAGCAAGAAGAAATAAATGAAATAAGCTTTGCCATCCCAACATACTGCAACCCTTCTCCAAATCTTAACTCTTTCCTAGTTTGATTGGTTGGTTGTTTTGCAGATATACATGTTCCATATATGGATAAGGGACTCCGAGGAGTTATGCAATTTTCATCCTCCTGTGTTCATTTAATTAAAATAAATACCCACTCTTAATTGGTTCTCTTGTGAACAATAATGTACTGCCCCTTCGAATTTTTCTAAAATAAGGGGCACAAGAAAGCAGCATCACCTTCAAACATTCCTGACCTTCTATTCTTCTCCTTCTCCCTCTCATATGTTGGAAACATGAAAGTTTATGGAAAAGGAAAATTGCCTCCTTCTCTAGTCAGTGTTTGGCACAAAACTTAACGAAACTCTGCAATTATATAATACACGGGATCTATTAATAAAGGAACACCAAGAAAATTTGAATCAACTTATCTTTTTTATTGATATTGTTTGATTTGTTTCTCTCCAAGTCTTCAATGTATCTGAATTTTCATTTAACTACTCCTATAATCAGGGATAGGAATAAAAACAGTTATTCGATGTGAATATGTCTTCTTCAGAAAAAAAGAAGTCATTTCATTCTTTTTCATTCTTAATAAAGCTAATAAATAAATTTTGTTTTTTATTTTTTCTTCTTTCTCCCATAAAGATATTGAATAGAATGAATTATTTTTTTTCCGTACCACTAAAAATAAAACAAAATAAAGTGATTGTTTATGTTTTAAATATATTTTTAGAATGTGTATATAATTCAAATAATACAACTAAAAAAAATATATAAAAATGAAGCTATCGAAAACACACTCTTCTTGATTTATATATTAATCTCTTGCGTCTTGAACATGTTACGGCATAGATAAGTATATAGGTCAATTTGACAAAATATTGAAAATTAAAAATTGCTATATATATATATATATATATATATATATATATATATATATATAAGATGCAAAAGCACGATATATTTTACATGGAATAGTCATGTGCTTGTACATATAGCTTGGAGGTCATGTGCTAGCTCCTTATTTCTGTTCTATGTTGATTAATATTAATAAAAGGGTGGTCACCGGTCATGTGCTTATGATTTTCCGTTCGTAATCTCCCAAATCTCGTAACACATGTATACTATAAAGAGCAAGAAATCATTATAATCACATGGTGACAAATGTGGCCTATTTCATCACCCTTTTCCTTTGACCCCTTAAAACCAAATCAATTGGCATCTATCTCTGTTTATGTTGTCTAATTTTGGTTCAACAAAGCTGTGTTGTTCTTCCATAACGATGATGTTAGAATTTGAAACTTGTCGGAGCAGCACGGAAAATGGTACATAGGCCTTTAATTTTGTGCGCACGAAGGACAACCATCTTTTTGGAGTGTAGGAATCTATGATCAACAAAAGTGAAAGAAGGTATTTACAAGTAAAATCCAGAATTAACTTTTATTTGAAGAAACAGAAAAGAATTAGTATTGACTGCTCGTAGAAAAGACAGTAAAATAATGATATTCTTTTATACTAAACATAGAAAGTAGCTAAGGAAGTGTATACCTTTGCCCTCAAGTTATGCCATTGGGCAAAGATCGAAAGGGAGGGAGGGATCTTTATATACATTACCTGCTATAAAGCAAGGAAATTAAGTAACTGAATAACCTCTATTTAATATTTATTGCACCACATAGACCGAGGTCGAGATTAGCTGTTAGCTTATATGGCTGAGACCGAGAAGTGATAAAGGAGATGAGAATAGGACATAGATGACGTGGAGTTTTTTGCAGTGTCACGTGATGGTGCATCTTTGGTCACACGACCCACCACTACTTTTTGGCCTTTTAACTTTAAGAAGAGTGAGAAGTGAGGACTCGAATGAAACCGCTAGCGGTGCAAGGCAAAATATTATTATTGGGTCAAATTATTACATCTCTTCATTTTACTACACATATTGTATGATACTAATGAGGTCTTGTAAAAAAAATTAATTTTATTATTAATAAATCACCACTAATGTAGTTTACTATTGTTGCATATTTACTGATTTTTAGTTTTTTTATTAATTTTTGAAATTGTTTTCATAATAATATTTTATATATGCATTTTAAAATATTATAAAATTAATATTAATACTATTAAATAAAAATTTTATGACTTTTCATAAATAAAAAATAACTAAATTATTTCAAGGAAAATAATGGTATTACTTTACTATTTATTATAATATCATTGTCACTGTTACTAATTTAATATCAACCCTTCTTTTAGTATTCCCATCTACCCCTTTTAATGTATCAAATTCTATTAAAAAATACAAGATAAAATCTTGAGTGAATTCTAGTTATAATAACATCATTTGAAAACCGTTTGGTTGTAACTTGGCTTTGCTGAAATGACATTCCCAACCTTAGATGTCTAGCTACATTTCAAGGTTTTCTGAATAGGTTTCCATAAATGCCCTCTCGAAGACTAGACTAGACTGGGACCCAAGCTGAGGCTACACTTCCAATCGTATACCGACAAAAGCTAATAACTCAATTTTTAAAAATTATTTTGACAAAACTTTAATTCTAATTATGTATAATTTTATAATATTTAAAAAAACAGTTTTCACTGTTTATCAGAAATAAAAATAAATAAATTATGAAAACATTGTAAATTTTTTTTAACATTCCCTTTCTATTATATATATTTTCTATTACACCATAAATCATATTTATATTTTTTTCCCTGAAAAACTACAATAAATTAAATTCTATTGACATGGAACATTGGCAATGATATATAATATAAATAAAATTGGATATTTTTGCTAGTACACCAAGATATAAACTTTGTCCAGACAGTTTCTCCTTCCCATAGCAGTTTTTTTTTCCCTCTCTCTCCAATTATTTAATCTTTGTGAAGACATCAAGTCTCAAAAGAAAACCAGTCCGGTTTCCAGTTTGAGCTTAGCTTTAAGGTGTCAAGCATATCTGTTGAATTCCCTTTCACTCCCTATGATGCGCCTCCCTTCCCCAACTGCAGCTTCTGTACTGTTGTTGTCCCATGAAGTCATACCCCATTTCCCTTTCCTTTTCCCTTTCCCTTTCCCCAGCTCAACGCTACACTTATTAGTTTAGCTTTTCCAAATATATATAAATATACATGGATCTTGGTGCGGTGGGTTTGAATGGCTTGGTTGGTTCAGACACCACTGGATTTCCTCCTCCACTTGCTTCAGATCCTCAAACAAAGCACAAGTGGTACGGATCTGGGTTCCTTAATAAGCAAGAGAGATCTGACACCACTGAACATGACTGGAGCATCTCCAAACTTCCCAAGACTACTCATGATGATGACATCTCTGCTTCCAGAACAATGCCGTTCCACCATCACAACAACTTACTGAGATCTAATGCCACTCTCTTTTCTGATGCTCACCACCAACCTCAAATGCTCAGCTTCTCTTCTCAGAAGTCTGAACCTTTGCTAGTGGAGAAGCCTTCCCCAAATGCCACATTCCCATATTCTTTCCACCCTCTATCTAGTTACAACAAAAATACAGGTATTTTATGTGTTATATGCATCAATATAATTTGTTTATTGTGTTTCGAGGGAAGGGACGGGGAATAATCAAGCTGGGATTTTTAGAAGAAAGAAAAGAGAAAAGAAGGGAGATTAGATGTCTGGGGTTTGTTTGTGGGTTTTGGGGAAACGGCATGGCATCCGTTGTGGAAGCTAAAATATGGGGTTGTCACGGTCTGATTCTACAGTATCGGTTGAGGGTCTTTTCATGGAAATACACTAGTGGACTCTGTTTTTGAGTCATGTCAAGAGAAAAGTGAAACAAAAAATTCCAACCAAAATCTCTGTCCTCCCGTTTTAAGGGGACGGATTTTAGTAAAATTTTGTACAGTAAACTATAGGATACCAAAGGAGAAAAGCACATGAAACAAGCTTAGAGCAGCTCAGCTAAAGGAGCAAGAAAAGAAAAAGGCTCCAAATTTTGATTGGTTCTGCACCCTCTTTCTCTAAAATTTTTCTTTCCTTTTCCATCTCTTCCTCACGCGCAAAGTGACCGTTATTTCTTCAATCAAAGTTAGGAAAATTTTCTTATTACTACTACTATAGACTTCTTAAATGTTCCAATCCATTAATTTACCACTCTTCTCCTGCCACTTTTCTTTTCACCCTTCTTTTTTCTTTTATGCTCAGAGGAAGTAACTTCCTTGTCCGTTCTCTTTCTATTTCTTACAAGGTTTGTCCTTATCTCATGGGATATGTTATGTTATTACAGGTTACAGTTCTGGGAACATGCATGGGATTTTAACCGGAACAAGAGGGCCATTCACTCCATCTCAGTGGATGGAGCTAGAACACCAAGCCCTGATCTTTAAGTACATAACAGCCAATGTACCCGTACCATCTCATTTCCTCGTCCCCATCAAGAAAGCGCTTGAATCTGCCGGCTTCTATAACTTCTCAAGCTCACTTCTCAGATCGAATAATGCCGGTGAGTTTATTGTTTTCAAAATATTAAAATTAATGATTTTTATCAACTAATCTTGATAAAATTTTATTAAAAAATATTCACTATATTTTTCTTTCTTTAGTACAACAAAATTAATTATATTTGAGTTAAAAACACATATAACATGGTTAGTAATTTTTCTCAATAAAATATCTTTTGGAACCTCTTAATGTTTATAAAGGTGGAGTTTTTAAGTAAGGTTATGGTTTTGGTGTAGTGGGATGGGGAGGTTTTCATCTTGGATTCTCGAACAACACTGATCCTGAGCCAGGAAGGTGTAGGAGAACAGATGGAAAAAAATGGCGGTGTTCGAGAGATGCCGTAGTGGATCAGAAGTATTGCGAGCGGCATATGAACAGAGGACGCCATCGTTCAAGAAAGCCTGTGGAAGGCCAATCAGGCCATGCCGTCACCGGAACTACTCCTCCAACTACTACAACAACCACAAATGCCACTTCTTTAACAACCATGCATAGTAACAACAATACAGTAATACACAGAAGCACGGCATCCAACAACCTCAGCATTGCACAGCACCAAACTAAGAATATGCAGCCTATTGCATCTGATACTTCTGTGCCTAACAATGTCAACAGGTCAGTGAATAAGTAAGCAAAGAAAGAGAATAATAATTTTTTGTAGTTTATTTGTGAAGTATCTTTACATCTATTTCACAAATCCCCCAATTTTAGATAACATACGCACAGAATTTGTGAATATCTTCTTTTCATTTGTGCGGGAGTCCAAGGACAGGACCAAGGAATCTATTACTACTATTATCGACTATACGGGGCTGATGGTGACTGGTCATTATTAATAGTGGTTGAGATTCCTTTTCGGAAAAAGGTCTTAGGCGTGTCAACTATTTTGTTGCTTTTTCTCTGTGGAAGGAAGCCAAAGCTCAAAAGGGTGCCATTATTTTGGAAACTATGATTTTAATATTTGACTTGAAAATTGAGGAAAAATTATTGAATAAAAATTACGTGAGTTTTACTAAACATAATGACTACAATTTTTTTTTTATTATTTATAACAAATTTTATACTTTCTGCATTTGTAAGATAATAAATATATTTATCATTTTTATATCATATCTTTTTCGTTGAAGCATTAAGAGAGTTAATAGGAAGATATTACTGTTTGGGAAGTACACTTGTTTAAAATTTAAATGGTGATTTCAGCTTCCAATTGCATGCAGGATAATTATGAATAACAAGGAGAATGGCAGCGAGAGAATCCCAGACACTGATGCACTTCCTATGTTGCCTGCCCCTCTTGAACTGAAGCCAAAGGAGACCCCCTTTGTGATTCACAAACAGCGGGTCCCATATGAGGAATCGTCGAGGAACGAGTTTGGGCTTGTCACGTCTGATTCCCTACTTAACCCTTCACAGAAAAACTTCACCTTGTTGAGCAGGAGAAGCTTTGGTTCATCACAAAACACAAGTAACCAAGAAACTGATTCACAACATTCCCTCAGACAATTCATCGATGACTGGCCTAAACCCAAAACTCAGTCTCATTGCTCAGGTGTTTCGTGGCCCGAACTTGACATGCAATCAGAGAGGACAGAATTGTCAATTTCAATCCCAATCACATCCTCGGATTTCATGTCATCCACTTCCTCTCCCACCAATGACAAGGTAACATTGTCACCCCTTAGGCTATCAAGGGAACTATACCCAATTCAGATGGGTTTGGGTGTTGGAAATGCTAATGCTATTAACGAGTCATCAAATAGTAGTAGGCAAACTAATTGGATTCCAATTGCATGGGAGAGTTCAATGGGGGGTCCTCTTGGAGAGGTTTTGAATCTTAGCAATAACAATAATGCAAGTGATCACTGTGTCAAAAACAACTCGGCCCTTAACCTCATGAGTGATGGGTGGGACAATAGTCCTCCCATAGGGTCTTCTCCCACTGGGGTTTTGCAAAAGACAGCATTTGGATCTTTATCTAATAGCAGTGCTGGGAGTAGTCCAAGGGCAGAGAATAAGACCCAAGAAGGAGCCAGTTTGTGCAATGACCTACTCGGTTCAACTCTAGGGAACTCTTCTTCCTTGCCTGCATTGTAACAACACTGTAGAAGCACTTTCCCTTGATTGTGATGAAGCCACCAAGGAGTTGAAGGACAGACAACTTTTTTTTTACTGTGCTGACTTTATTTATTAGCTCAGTTTTTTTTTCCGCTCCCTAATATGGGTAATCTTAGAATTTGGGAAAAAAAAGAATGTTCTTAATCTTAGCCTCATAACTTGTTTGTGTAGGTTTTGCGTTAATTGGCTTTGTGTTTGTTCATGTTTTGTGTTCTGTGCGCGTTTTGGTAAGTTTGTATTCAACGGTACTGGATTTGGTTGGTGTGTGGACTTGGTTTTTTAAGGAGATGGCCAGATTTAGGTCATGTGGGGACTCTGATTGCGTGACGTAGCAGTAAGTATTAATGAGTGTTACTAACTTGTAGGACAGCACGCTCATAGCAACATTATTTGCAAGCAAGCCAGCGACACAAATTTTGTCGGTTTTTTTTTTCTCAATTATTTAAGGTTGACTCTTTTTCATTTGAATTAGCCGTTGCAAGCTCTTCTCTTGTACTTCCAATTCTCAATCTTTTGGAATGAACTGGCTGGCACTGTTGGAAGTTTAGGCATTTGGAAATTATAATTGTTTTTAATTGGGAAATGATAAATTTATTATTAAAAAATAGTTTTTAATAAAATTTTATCATCTAATTATTTAGATTTGATTCTAGGAGTTGACATTAATTCAGTTTTTAATTTATTTTTTGGATTTACCGCCCATAGTTAAGCTCCGGTGACGTTGATTTCTGTGAACTTTTAAAGATTTTACAAATTCTATTACCAAATGAACTTTTTTTATTTCATTAAATTATCACATTTTTGTATTTATTTCCTAATTTTGATATCAATAATTGATGATTATGTTACCATTGCACATTTAAAAATATATATTAACCATCTTTTTTTAATATATTTACGAAGAGATTGTATTGATTGAAATGGCCATAGTAGTCGTGATAACCAAGGTTCAAAGGCTAAGCGGGAATAAGATATTGGATTAACCTGGATTTAAGAATATTGATATAATGTTCAGGAAACATACTAGCACACTAGGAAAGCAAAACCTTTCTTAAAAAGACATTAATAGCTTTTATAAGAAAATAAAATCTCTTTTTTATCCAATAAAAATAATAGAAACTTTTTATTTAAATAAACTGAATTAAACATACGTTTATAGTATGGTTGTGAATGAATTAAATTGGAGAAATCTATAGTTTGAAAGGAATATATAAGAGAAACAGGAAAGGTACAATTAATTCTCTTATATAAGTTAAACTGAATATGTACTTAAGGTGTTTTTAGTTTTATTTATTTAAAAGAAATATTTTCTAGTTCACTTTTTTGAAAAAGTTAAAAAATGATTTTTTGTTTTCTAAAACATTGTATGTAATTCAATGCTGAATAGGATTAAAATGCTGAAAGTGTATGTTTCCTCGGTTGTGAAAATATTAACTCTCATTTCTGAGAAGATAAAATGTATTCTTCACAATATCCAGTGCACGGTTTGACCACCTTGTGAACATCCTTCGAATTTCCCCCATGTTTTTCCTAATGCAGAGGGATGCTGTGATCAAAAGGACTGCATTTCGAAACAATTTCACAATAATAAGGGGATGGTGGAAAATGGTGGAAATGAGAGAAAAATAATATTTATTAAGCCTTTTTTTTGGGTACAAGATATTTATTGAACTTTGAGAGGAGAGAATACGTATTTATAATGTTTTAACAGTTACATAAACTTTTACATTGTTTACATATAATTAAAATGAGACCTAAAATAGGATCAAAGACTTTACCCATCATAGTAAATTTCCAACTAATTCATCACCTAACATAGAGGGCTTCAAGTTACTCCCGTCTTCTTAGTTTATTTGCGTCTCTGTCAATAAAAAGTGACACATTTTTAAAAGACCCTTTCCCCTAGTTAGTTGTTTTTGCTGTCTTGCTACTTTAATTATGAAGACAAGGATGGAACAAAGAATTGGTTCAAGTTTGAAATTACTTATAACACTTTTAATTCTCCTTTCCTGTTCCTCAAAAAGTAATATCCTATATCTCGTGATTGTTAGTTATGTTTTTCAAGGGCCATTATTCTAATTTTTCTTTGGCTCATTTGGTATAGCAGAAATCAGTGACGAAAGAAAATAAGATAATGATGAAAAAAAAAGGAGAGCAGATAATAAAAAACAGCGTAGAAATTCAATAAATTTTTAATGGATAAAAATGAAAGGAAAAAGAAAACGCCTCTCAAGTAATCAAGATGGAAGAGTGCTAGCAACACTTAGTTACATTTTTAAAAAAGAATGTGTTTTTTTTATAAGTATTAACTTTATGATGAAAGCATTTTTTACACACTTATTTTCTTTTTAAAGAGCTAATCATTACTCACAAATTTCATGAAACATTAACGAATGATGTGAAATTTCAGCTTGCTGTTTTTCATGGGTCCCCTTCCACAGTCCACACCAAATGTGTCACACTCTTTACCAATACATGCAATACCACATTTCCTATCTTAAATTCACTATATCCAACATAAACGTGCTCATCTTTGAAATTTTGATTTTGACTGTATTCACTTTCATTTTTATGTTTCAATCAAAATATTCTTCTATCATATAACGTACGAAATTTTATCATTAAGAGTGAATGTTTATATTTGTATTATAACTCAAAATTTCAAATGTGCGTTAAACACATGTTAAAGGATGAATAAATAATATTTCTAATACAAACTTTTATAGTATTTCACATTTTAATAAAAAGTATTTTATATAAACTTTTATTGTATGATATTAAATACTCGTTTTTTTGTGCACGAAATTAAATACTCGTTAAAAATATCATTTTTAAAGTTAAGTATATTTGAAAATGGATGGTTAAGTTACGCCATGAAACCCTTTAAACTAAAATCCAGCCCAACGTGGCACAACAAATGTTCAATACTTGAGCTGGGCCGGAATCAACCTACTCTTTGTCTAGTTGACATACTAAACTCATTCGTTGCCCTAAAATATGGTGTTTTGGGTCTTTATTCTCTGCAACGAATACGTATTTCGCAGACAAACAAATAAATTATTTATTTAATACAATTTAATCTTAATACAGAATGAATGAAAGAATTAAAATGTTTTTAATTTTAAAAAATTATTCAATATTTATTTTCGTCAAGTAAACTAGTGAAATTATTTGATTATAATGGATAATTCACAACATACAAATAAACAGCTGATAAACTCAGCGCGACACAACAGATCCCATCTCCCTGGAATTGTCAATTACCATACCGATATAGCTTCATCTCAATTTTATTCAAAGGTATTAAATCATCAATCATCTATATTATAAGATTTCCATGGAATGTGGCGGTGTGCGTAACCCAAAACTCAATGAATTAGGGTTAGGGCTTTAAACACCACTCAATAAATTTTAGGAGTTGGCTAAACACAAAGCAGTCATGTTGTCAAAATATGCTCTTCAAATCGAAGACCTAACTCCATTAATGATCAAAGCGACGATTAAAAATAAAAATAAAAATAATAAAAGAAATATTTATAAAAGAGGGGCGGTGCTCATATTCTATGGGTGTAAACGTGTCTGTCATGCCATGGCAATAGCATTCAGAACGAGGAATTGTTTTATAATCATCGCAACCAAACCCTTCATTCTTTTCTATGAAATACGAGTAAACAAGAAACAAAAGTGTAGGAAGGAAAGAGATGTGAAGCTTTTAATTGAATCCCACACGCAAGTGTAGAAGAATATAATGGAATGAAACCACAGATCAGACGGCGCCTTCGTCTTCAAGATAGTTTCCCTAAAACGTTCTAATTCACCAAATGACTCTTCTATTTAAAGCTGAGAGATGTCACGCATCGCCGCTCTAAACCCTAACCATTCTCCTTTTTTAGGTCAAGGATTCAGTTGGGCCTTTCACAATATAAATCCAATACAAAATAGGTTTTTCAGATACATGTGTTATGGGCATGGGCTTGCACATTTTTGGACCCATGCAAATTGGGTAAACAGCTATTTTACTCCTCCAACGTCTTCACCTTTTAATTAATAAATACATATTTACATCCTAAAACGTTGATAAAAATAAAATTGTTTATCGATAGTTACCTTAAGAGGACAGCTGGTTTATCATTGCATTGTTTAAAATACTCTGGAGTATATACTCTATATTATTACGTTTCTTAAGGTTTAATTATCACCGTTTTTCGAAAAAGAACGTGATTGATACGGAATCAAATAAGTAGAGGTGAGACATCACCGTCGCCCTATATAAGTTTTGTCCTGAACGGCTTTATTTGTCGCATATTTATCTTAATGTTAAATTTTAAAAATAATTAACGAAAAAAAAAAAACTCTATCAACGCTTACTTGTATGAAACTACAAACTTGGGCAACCAAATGGCATAGAGTCCGAAATTGATTGCTTTTGACATCATTATTATGTGAACTGAATTAGTTTCTTTGGTATATGAATCAAAGTAGTTGAGCTTCGACAGTTACGGCATACCATGCGCATTGTTTATGAAGCAGTGAAGGAATATACCAATATTAAAAATTTGATATTATCGTCATAACGGTTCTTGACGAAGCAAACTGCGTGTATGAGTGTGTGTATATATACTTTGGTTATTCAATGCAAAAAATAGACGTGACGAACATAGCAGGCAATTAAAACAAGGTCCAGCCTTTTCCTAACAATGTAAGAAAAGTACGTATGTGATATAACATGATGACTGTTGTTTATTAGAGTCAATCATCCCACAAGTAAAAGAACATTTTCATGGCATGTCTTGCTCGGGAGTTGATGATTTTATCAAAGTAAACTTTACAATTCATAAAAAAAAGTTGAATTCATCTTATCTCTCAGTTTTAGCTATAAAAAGATAAGAAATGAGTTTAAAAAGTGTGAAAATATAAACAAAAAGTATAATTTTGTTGGGTAAATAAATGAATATAGTTTATAAATAGCGAAAGAAACAGAAGCGGGAGTTGGGCCATACTTTTGGGGAATATGATGGCAGAAATATGGGTCTACATGGAATAATATTCTGCTGTCAGCCCTCACCCAAGTGTTTGTTAACATTTTGGCCCATGGCCAGTTTCTACGGTTGCAAAATTAGATCACTATTTGTCAAATATGGCATGAAGCCATAGTGTTTCTTACTCGTTTCTTTGTCTTCTCCCAATGAATTAATCCACAAGTTATCTCCTTCTCCAACAGAATTCGGATTATTTTATAATCAAGAAACTCGTGACATGCATAACCCCCTTTCATAAGAACCTCATTAATATAAATCACATATAGCGAGCAGCAATTCAAACACACCATGGAACACACCGAGTACAACACACACAACTATACCCCTAATGATGTTTATTTTCAAAAAAATGTAAATGTTCCTTTCTCATGGGAACACAAGCCTGGTCTCTCCAAAGTCACTCATCAACTACCCAACAATGACACAAGGCGTAGTAACTTAGTGCTACAACCTCCTCCACGTTCATCAGCTAGGATTGGGGTTAACAAAAATCTTCGAGTTGAGGACACAGAGGGTCCTTCTACTCTATGTGCAGTGCAACCTTCTTCCCTGAGAATTAGATCGTTTCGATTGGAGAGTCAGAATGAAGACCCCTTTGTCCAGGCTTACAAGAAATGCACCCAAAGCCCCAAACGCAACTTTATGCCTAAACGATCCAATAAGAGAAATAAAAATAATGGATCTTGGCCCAACATTATCAAGTACGTGCATATTTTTTCTTGCAAGTTCTCTGGCGATGTTCTGAGCTTGGTTTAGTTAGTTGTAATCGCAAATATATAGACAGCAGTTAAAAATTAAACTATATATAGTTAAAAATTAAACTATATATTTTTAATTATTCGGGATATTTTGTTTCTCAGCTGCAATAAACTATTGTTATCGGTTTACTTTTTATGTTCATATCAAATTAATAATACTTGGAAGCAAAACTCAAGTTACAGCAACAAGAACAACAGTTTCGTTAACAACAGGAAGTTAGGAACACTGGTTCATCGGGTATCGCTCACCCGAATTTCAAGTTAGAACCGTCAAAATAAATAAAAATTATTGGCAATATATGAAAAAGAAAATAGTAAGCTCTGTTTCCATTATTATAGAAGGGGAAAAGGAAACTTATTTGTCACAATGATTAGAAGCAAGAATATACACAGCCGTCTGATTTACCATTAAATTGATCGAAAAAAGAAAGGAAAAGGAAACAGCCACGTCCTAATTTAGAATACTATTTCATGAAGTTTATGAATACAAAAGCTTCCTACAATAATAACTCACAAAAGTCATGGTTTGAAGAATAAAACAAATAGTTACAAAAATAATTTTGATAACTATGATCTCCTAATACTAATCGAAAAAAATAATAGTCATATAAGAATTTTAAAAATAAAAGTGACAAATAACTAATTGATTCAACATTTCATTTTCGTCGGCTACGGGAGGGGCAGGGAAGAGCCCAAATTATTTAAACATTTTTCACTGTGGTAGTATTAACGGAAGCAAGATTTTAAGGGGGAAAAATCTTTTTTATCTTCTGAATATCTTTTACTGTGATTTCAAGGGTTGATATATATCGTCTGAGAATAAGTGAAGTGCGATATATTCCTCAAGATTAAGATTATTATTAACTTGTTATTAGGATATGTTATATATATATATATATATATATATATTAATGAAGTTAGTTTTTTTTTAAAGAATATATTTATGTTTGGTTGTAATATTGCGTAATGTTTTGTTTTAAAAAGTTTTTACATCTTATGAAGAAGTCTTCTTCTGTATGCATAGAAATATAGTTTGAAAAAATAGAAGGTGAGTTTTGTGATTTTTTAGTGGTTATTTAATTAAGAAAAACGCACTCAAACACTAAAGTATTTTTGTTTTTTTCCAGTATATGAGCCAAGTTACCATTAATATTTTTTCAAGCTCTTGGTGGCGCAGACCGTCTGACATGGTCTTCTTCTTCCAACTTTCGTTTCAAAGGCAAATTATAATTATCTATGCTCACATTTTACGTGCTTGTGCCTTGAGATACGATGTCTGTTAAGAACTATTACTGTATATTGTAACAAATATAAAAAGCCTTAAAGACAGAATCAAACTTGATTCACCACTCCAATCATATATATAAGGTAACTATTAGATAATTAGTCAACCAGGGTCTCCTTCACCGGGTAACATACGCTTTTCATGGGAAAGAAAACCCGGTGTACCCAAGGTAACTATTTGCTGAAAGTTTCCCAAAAGAACACAAGTTTGTGCCGCACAACGCAGATAAATAATATTGATGTGTTTAACTTTTTAATTTATGTTGCTTTGGAGACATACACCGTAAAAATCAAGTTAACCAATAAATAAATAAGAACTTTATGTTTTTAAGTCCATGTCTTGCAAATTTAACGAATAAATTAGTTAAAAGTTGAAAGAACAGCTAGAAGTTTAAAACTGATAAATATAAAATAATAAATAAAATATATGAATTCACAGTATAATTTTGATTATTTTATATTATAAAGAAATAAAGAGTGTGTGTTGGAAAATTTATGAAATTAAAAAAAGATAAAAGAAGAACTACAATAAAATAATAAATCTGCTAAAGAAGTATTTGCTCAATCGCTACATAAAGCAATATTAAAAAAAAAACTTCTGATTTTTTAACTGATATATTAACAGTATTATTTATCATTTCTCTTAAAATAATTCGAGAGATTGTTGGTGATGAAAGTTAGAGTATTTCTATTATTTTGACGGACAACATATTTGGTAATAAGTGAAAATAAATCTATTGCTAATAATTATTTTTTTGCAGACCATATATTTTTTAAAATAAAATGGCAACTTAATTAATTATCTTACCAAAAAAATTAATTAAGGAAAGGATTTATTATATAAGGGAAGGCGCCAAAGTAAGTGACTGCGTATAAATAAATTTGGTTCCTCTCTAACATATCACAACGTTCTCTCTACGCGAAAGTAAGTGACGCATTGTAAATTGTATTTCTTTGTTTCTATATTTTTTTAATACTAGTTTGTTTTTTGGTCGTTGTTGTACTTGATACATTTTTATTTCTCTTTATGTCGCCAAGCAAACCTGCTAACTTGGAATAGTAGATTAGATGCTAATTGAGTTTTTGGTCTAAGGTGTGTGAGGAAATGTTATCAAGTTGTCATGGATATTTTGGAGTATATTCTTGCAATAAAATTGGTCACACAAATTGCTTGAGAGAGTAGCTATGTGTAGATTTGCACTACTTGGAATATTTATTTGAAAATGAATCCTGCAAATAAAATTTAAAGCACTAACGAGGTAGAAGGGGCAGAAAATGTTGCATCTCTGAGTGCGGTTAGTTAAACATGGTGAGTACGATATCTCTATCATGGAGACGGAGCTATGAGAGTACTACACCTCAGTTCTATGCATGTCTTGCCACGCCTACATTGGGCAAAACGGCATCTTTATCGGAAGGAGAATGGCTGAACAGCAGTGCGTGCGAAATCATCATTTTGTCCCCACAAAAAATTTAAATAGTCTGTTGAACCCGCACTTGTAACTTTCACTACCCATTCATATATAAAAAACAACAAGATCAAATTTATTGAATCTGTGCAGATTTTGAATAGATGTTAAAGCATTTTAATTTTGTATAATTTAAATTATATTAATTAGTTTCATCAGAGACATTAATTAAACAAATAATAATTAAAACATTTTATTAGAAATATATTACAAATTATTATGAGAATAGTAATATCTTATTTTTATAATAAATTGATTTATATTAAAAATATTTCTTTTAGATTAGCGAAAAAAAATTTCTTTTAATAATATTTTTAGGAACTTGCTAGTTTTTTTTGCTCAGGTGACACAACAAGTGATCATATTGGTGCAGGGAAAAAAGCTGGTTAAATGAGTTAAGTTTCATTCTCGGCATAAAGAATGATACCACATCTACCATGCCATCGTCAGTGTCCAAATTCCACTGGGAGGGTTTTGAGTAAATTTAATGTTTGATTTCGAAAAAAAAAAGACAGCGCAACACATCATTTAAGAAGGAAGGGTCAGAAATGGGCAGAAGACATTCAATTGATAAAATTCCATTACTACAACAATGTTGGCGGCAAATTTCCAATCATATCCGAAACAATTTCACCAGTCACGCGTTCCAAAATTGCACCGGCGATCTCAACGCAAATGTGTCTCACTTGCGGCTTTAATTCACTCCACTCATCCATCGAATCCAAGTAATCCAAAGTCAGCAAATAGGTAAGATTTGTCTCATTTTTTCCACCTTGTTCACTCCATTTCGTCCTTTCCCAGATTAACTTTCCTAACTCCTCAGGTTCCCTGAATTGTCTATAACCTTGCTCTTGCCCTCTATCATCTTTTCTCGAAACATTCATTGTAATTTCTCTAACACAATCAAATAGAAGTTGTTTTGCCTTACATAACAACGTTTTAGATTTCAACACATGACAAACATTTGGATTGGGCCCAGGCCCAAGCAGCTCTCGCAATTCCTTACTACCCCCTTCTCTCTTTGCTGACCGAATAAGCGAACTCCATAGAGCGGCTGATAATAGCGAATCCTCGGTGATTTTCTCGGGTACGAGGACACAGCAATTGCTTATTCCATGTCCCATTCCCGAAACATCCTTATTCAGTGTCTTGTGCGTCACAGAAACTGGTAACATAAAAGAATTGTTAACCAATTAAAAAACGTTAAAACACATGATTATAACAACCAATAAAACTTGCTCTTTTGAGATTGTGGAACAGGGCTACCTTCTAAGCATCGCTGGTGGTGCTTTTCATTGTCGTTTGCCTCCTGGCTTTGTTCGTGAGAGTAACAAAACCAAATTAATACATGTTTTTTTTTTTTTCCATTAGCTTTTAAGGGTACTCGAGAATTTGAGTTCTTACCTATGTAAATCTCCAATATCGTTGACCCTCGAAGCTTGGCAAGTGTCTGAAGAAAACAAAGGTTTGTCTCTATGTGGCGACATCGAGATTCCATCTTCATCAATATCTGAGCATGAATTGTACACGGTTGAGCTTGTAGCGGTTGAGAACGAGAACCGATCTGTTTCCAAAGTTGTAGCTACATGAGGAACACTAACATCAACATGTTCGTTTATGGAGTCAGTGTCAGAGTCCCTAAATACGATACAGTTTTGGTTGTGAAAAGAAAGTTTCTTGTGTAGTGCTGTTAGGACTTTGGAGAACGGAAAGAGATTCTCTTTCTTTTTGTTTAAGACAAAACTTGTTGCCCATCTCTCTGAACACTTGGTTGATTCTCCATTTGGGCTTCGTCTTGTTGAGTACCCTCTTTCTAATAGGTAAACCTCTAGGATGAAAGGTTCCTGTTGCTCCTTTAGAAATTCGACGAGTTTTTTCGCTGGTTTTGCTGTTGCTGAACCCATAGAAGGGGGTGGAGGGTTTTGAGTTCAAATAATGGAATTGGGTAGGAATATAAAGGTGTGGAAATTAAATGGGGGCGTGATAAGGAGCAGAGCAATCAATTCGAATAGATAGTATATCTGACGCAGTTTGGGACACTGCAATTGTAGATATTACTAGGATGCTTCAGAGTTTGGGAGTATGTGATACACTGTGTCTACATCAGTTTCTATGGCTTTATTTTTCACCTCCTTCCTCTTCTGTCGCTTGATTCTAACTACCTAAAACTTTCATATACCTGCAAATTCCCTACTCTGTGTTTGGCATTTTGAACTACTAATTTAGTTTTTGAATTTTGAGTGATTTGAACAATAGATGTGGAAATTGTCATAAATAGCCCCTCTCCTTCCATCTGCCAAGTGCCATCCTTTCATTTTCTTTCATCAATGCTGATGGTTTAAATTTTAAACTTTGAATATCTAATCAAATTAAAAGACTTTTTTTTTTATTACTATTAAGAACATCCATATTCCTACGCATGATTTAAAGTATTAATTATTTTCCATTCAAAATTTAAGAATATGTTAATTGATATTTTTAAAATATACATATCAATTAAAATTTAAAAATATGTTAATAATTAAAATATACATATAATTTTTATGTTAATTATTACAAAATTTAATAGCTTTTATTGATATGATAATTTAAAAAATTAAACAGTGTATTTAATTTTTTTTATATTTATAAATTTATTTTCTATAACATGTTTTGTTATTTTATTGCTCTCTTCTTTTTATTCATTTCACACATTCAAAATGGACGTTACCATGTCAATTTTTTAAGTACCATAGAGATAACACGCGATGCTTTTGCCACGACTTACGCGTATTATTGGTGTATCACTCAATGTTCTTAATCATTGATGTATGAGGACCTAATGGTAATACTCCACTGATTGATGGGTATTACTCACCTTTTAAGAATGTCTTCGTTGTGTGTGAACAAAATATTTTAGGGGAAAAGGCTAAAAGTAAGACAATTTATAATTGATAAATGTCAAGGTGGGAACATAGAACGACGATATGACGAATGCAATTGAAATGACATTTGAGTTCAGAGTAAAATTTAGGTGTTTTTAATATATTTTTGTGTTATTTCATAATTAGAATTAAAAATAAAAAATGACCTATAAATTATTGAAATAAAATTGAATTTTAATTCAAAATAATATTAAAAATATTATAAAAATACATCTAAATTTTATTCTTTAATTAATGTAAACAACTCTCACTTATATGAGTTTAGTTTTGCTTATTACTTATAATTAAAGAGGACAGGGGGATTAGATTTGATTAAAAACGGCACCATGATTAAAGGCAATGCAATTATGATTTGTGGACGGTCTCCAATTATAATTTTCAAACGCAGTACTACCATTAAATATTATTTTTGTATTGCTAGCATGCAGTCTAATCCTAACTTACTGTGATTTTGCGGTGTCACGGTCACTGACATTATTTCGTGTCGGTTTTTTTTTTTTCAAATAAAATTGTTAAGATTATCGATTTTTCTCTACATACAGAGTTAACAAATCATTTATTAGTTTATATAAGAAAATTATTGTTCATCTCATCGTCCCCCAATCTGTCCTTACTTACAAAGTTACTATTTCAAATATAGCTTCTTCTTCTTTTTTTTATTCGAAACAGACGATTTACTATATCAAAAACTTTATTAAAAAAAACTAATAAATAGTTTATTTTAATATATTATCAAATTCAAAAAAATATTTTATTTTATTTTTAAACAAATTTTAAGTAATTATGGTAAAAATTATTAAGTTCGAATTATATAACAAATTATAATTAAATAATAACGTATAGTATATTTTAATTGAATGTTTTTTTTTTAAATGTAGTTACATAAAATTGATCTTACGATGACATAATTATCATATAAATATTATTCCATCAAAATTGAGCAAAAACAAAACATACACAAAGTTTTTTTTTTCTTTTTTGGCGTAAAGAAAAATGAAGAACATAAATATTTTTCTTTTGTTAGGTCTAGTGTCATGGCATCAAATTTACTAAAAGAAATTAGTGAATATGTAATGTAACAAATGAAAAAGCAAATTGAGCTGCTTTCACGCATTACACAAACAATATTGCTTGATGGGAGATCAATTTCAGTTGTCTTATTCAGAATTGGTTCTTTACATTTTACTCTTAGTACGAGACATTCTTTATTTTCAGACTAACCTACTTTATCAAGTGGTTTTCCATTAACTAAGATATAAACAAAACTAAATATAAAATCATAATGAACCATTGATATATTAATGGAGTTGCACATAATAAACTTTGAACTACACTTCATCTCATTTCATAATTTTAGCATGTGTGTGCTGATTATTGTGAAAGTTATTGATCATGAGTGCGCTGAATATTATGACAAGCATTTTTAAGTTCGTATTGTTATATTTTTATTTTTATTTTTTGCATTTCTTGTTATTTACAAGGTTCATGTGTAGGCCGACTGATGGGCTTGTAAAATATGGTCTCTCGTTGGATTATGGTGTTAAGTTCTTTTTTGTTCCTTTTTTTCCCCCTCCATTGTTTATGTCCAATTTCCAGGAAATTATTCTAAACAAAAAAAAAAGAAAAAAATTATTCAAAACGTTGTTGCACAGGATAAATTTATCGTTCTCTGGGCCTTTAGCTATAGTGTGTGTGTGTGTGTGATTTCGGTAAATTTTTAAATAATATATGATTAATTTTTTTACTTATAAAAAGGATTGACCTATATTGTATATAAGTGATAATCCATTAATCCTAAATAATAAACTTTTTTTCCCAACCTTCACACCTAAAAACCAGAACAATGAAATGACTAGAGGTGGTTTAAAATTAGTAATTTGTCGAATAACATGAATAGGAATTCGCACTTTACATTTAATTCGTTAATTTTTATTATTTTTTAACAATACTTTCTTTCTTAATCTAAATTACGTTAGTTTGTCGTGGATAAGTTTTTTAAACGAAACAGCATTGCTCGTAAAATTATTTTCAAAAACTTTTAAGCAAACGGTTTTTCTTTCTTTTAACTAAAAAATAGTTTTTAAAAATGTTACAGAGATTGCATTTAAAAAGAATAGTGACACAATCAGAGAGGCCCTAAGGTTCTGGAAATCGTATGCCTTTTTGTTATCTATCGGATCTTAGATATAGATTGGTACGTGCCACCCACCTTGCGGTTTTTTGTTTAGTTTCCTTTTTTGTTTTACAATGTAGCGTACCTCTCTCTCTCTCTCTCTTTCCCTAAAAATCTTTCTTTAATATAGCAACCTAGTTTTAATTCCAAAATTCAATTTCCAAAAATGTTTAAAATATTGTTAATCACGGTGCAATTGATTTGCATTAACAATTCCTTAAAAAAAGAACAAGTTTTAAGTTTTAGGTTTTTGATATTATTATTAAAATTAAGACATTTCCTTAATTACTATAAAAAATGTTATTTATTAAAAAATAAAAAAATATTAAGTAATCAGATTTTTTATTAATATAATATTTGGATAATTAAAATAATTTATTAGTGTGAATTTTGAAAGTTTATAATAATAAACAATGTATTACTTTAATATTTAATTTATTGATAGTATATACTGATATTTATATTGATATGATATATCATATTGTTAATATAAATTCATAATATTCATATTAATATTTAGTTTTTGTTAGAAAATTTATATTAACAATAATTAATCGAATGCCAAACTGTTTATAAATGGTATTTTTTAAGAGCTATACTAATTTTTTTAATACATTTTAATATAAAATTATTAGAAAATTATTCATTCACTCTTTACAAATAGTATCTTTACGTCACTAGTTAAGAAAATTCTAAAAAAGGTGTTAAAAGTACTATGTTATTAATATTTTTATAATACACAATCATGAGCTGATATAGCTTATTATTGTCTTAATGATAATTTTCTATAGTTAAAGCTGTCTTACAAGCCATTGTCAGTGCTTCTAATCCGCATTATTAGGTCAAAAGATAACAGCCCTCTTTATGTAAACTTTAGAATAAAACAAATGTTTGGTTAGCTCTAAGATTATTATTATTAATTTTTAAATAAACATGTTATTTCTAAGAACTTGCTTCTGAAGAAAGTGGAATAAGCACAGGGCAACCGTACGAGGTCAAGCAACAACGAGAAGACACTAATCGGACTATAACACTTAGGGATCGTGTTATGTCGATTTGGTTTTGTGTGAATATCCCTTTTATTTTTATTTAAATTTTCTTTTAAACAACTTTCTGTGATGATTTTGAGGATTTCATGGGGGCTACAAATCTGAAATTCAATTCCATTCTCTGAACTTGGAGAAAAAACACAACTAGTTCATAAAAAAAGTTTGTAAAAAACGGAGACTGTCCATGACTCTAATATGCATATTCGTCTTTGTTCATTTCGTCAACGTTTTCTTATAAGTTTTGATCATTAACGCGTGCCCTGTGTATTTCTCTTTCATATGAGAAAATTAATATCAATGACTATTATTAAAAGGCAACATTTAATTTAAAAAGAATATTTAATTATGAAAAGATCGTTTAAAGTTTAACTGGACCGATAACATGGTTTTATCTGATGGTCAAATCACCTTTAACACAGAAATTCTTAAATCAAAATTAGAATTGATAAGTTTTCAATTTTTGTTTTCTTCATATTTGTTAATTTTGTTCAAGAATTTGTTCTCAACATTGTTTAACAAGTTGATTCTAAATGACAAGTAATTCTAAAATAAATTCACTCAATAACTATTACATAAACAAATATTGCTAAAATTTTAACAAAGATTAGTTGTTAAATAAATATGAATAAAATAAAAAATATTACAAGGGAAGAAAAGGTCGTAAACATAGATTGTATGCAAACAACAGGTTTATATATATAATAGTGACGTTAACAACAAATTGACAGCAGTAACAACAGTTCTTATCCTTAGCTGGAAAAAGATTCTTGTAATTTTATTAAATGAATTAACTTAAAATATTTTTAATAATAAATTGTATATATTTTTAAATAAAATAGATATATATTACACGAGCTGTTAATTAATTATATACTAAAGTACGCGGACTTATTATGTTGGGTAATATTTAAAATTTATGGTAAAATTAATATGAAAATATTAACTATGATTTTCTTACACCCTAAATTTTTTATATTTATTTTATAGCTATTTCTTTTTTTTTTCTCTCACAGTAATATTTATTATTTTTATCTTCACATTCTCTCTTTCCACTTTCTAGTAACAAGTGCCAAACGATTATTACTCTTGTTTTATTATACTATTACACATTCGGTTATTATTAAAAAAATTAAACTTAATTTTTTTTTAAAATCAATTTAAAAAAGGAAGAATATTCAAGCTTAATATATAAAAAAATTAACCATATATTTAAACAACGCAAAACATCTGGAAGGAAATTAAAAAATATTAGGACTCGACAGATTATAATATAATCATATAAAAAGTTATTATCTATTTAACTCTAAAACACTAACTTAATGAAAATAATGATTGAAACCTCACAAAAGTATCTTCATCACATTTGAGTTTACTTGAGACGTCTCATTAGTTAGTGCTGCAAAAAGCAATTTTGGTCACATGATTAGAAGTGGTCGTTCATATACGTGGGTCCTGTCTGACCTCACTACCGTAATTTTATGTAATCGATGGTTTCTCTGTTATTGAAGATTATGTGTCAACCGATCGAGGACTTAGTCAAGTCTATGCAGTTGAAGTATTGAAGATTATCCAAATTAAAGAGACAAAAATAATAACAAGTGCATTCCTTGTTTAATTTGCATTTACAATTACATTAGATTGACTTGAGACTACATAGATAACAACATTTATATATTCCATTAAGATGCCGAACGAGCCTCAAACACTTACTAGATGGCTCGCCAGCTCTCTTTGCTTCACCACTCACTAAGGTCATACAAATTTACAAAAAAAAACCTACCAAAAAGATATATAAAGGTTACAACACGATAAAAAAAAATTGGAAAAGTAGAGCCTCAAAATCCCTACATCGTACTTCCAACAACGCAGGGCTTCTCTCAGCCACTACAATGCACGTAACCATGTTCTCCTCTGTCCCATTAACCAAGAAAAGATAAAAGAAATTCGACCCCCCAAATAAAATGACACGAGGAATACCTTCTAGCTAGCTACAACATCACTTTTCCCCTACATCAGCCACCCATTTCCAATGGTTTAGTACGTGAAGGAGAGTGAGTGAGTGATTTCTTCATTCAGAGTACTTTATTCTATAAATATATATAGCTAGGAAAAAAGGGAAGCTCAATATATAAATTATATATATAGTCTCATTGCTTTGTTATTGTTTGGTTTAGAGTATACATTAATATTATTGTGAAAGCATGGTGCCTAAATATCCATATAGATCCGAAAGTGAGGCCATAAGGGCAACGGATTCGGATTTTAGATGATCATTGTGAAGGGATAATAGGAGATGGTGATGCAGGGTGAGGGCAAGCCGGTTTTTAAGTTCCCGGTTTTCTATTCTCAACCGGTTCAGTTGGGTCGTGAGGTTCTCTAAATGCTTCTTCTTTCGGTAGCGGGAGCGTCGTGCCGATTCCCGGTTCGACTCCATGCGCCTCAGCTTTCTTTCTTCTGACGAGTAAACCGCCCGGTTCGATCCCTGTGAACCGGAGCCTGGGCTGACCGGTTCTTCCGGTTGGTTAATGAGGGAAAAGAGGTCTTGTATTTCACTTTGGGTCAACATGGTTTCGAGAACCGGTGGACATTGAACCGCTTCGTCTTCGATGAAGAACATGGCTTTGCTCAAATGCAACAGCAAAATAAGAAGAAAAAAACCGGTAAATTCAAAAGAGTGAACCGGAGGGAGGAAGGAAGGGGAAAAGGGAGGAAATGAAGCGTAGGGAGGGGGTATTTGAAGGAAGAAAAGGGGAACACGTGGGGTCCATTAGTGCAAAAGATTTTGGAAAACAAAGGGCACGTAACCCTGCTCACAAAAAACAATTGTTATTATTGTTAAAAGTAGGGTTCAGATGGTCGAATGGCTGTCTTTTAACTTAGTTTTGTTAATTGAATCATTAAAAATTCACATAATATGTAATGCTATCTCAAAACTACTTCACAAATATTTTTTTTTCTTTCTTATTTTTTAACAAAAAAATAAATACTCCACATATGGTATTCCATGCAAGCTTTAGTGTCAGGTGGTGGTGGGGATTCAAGCTTTTTATTATGGTAAGAGAAGAGGGGTGTCCTTGGGAAGATTAGCTTTATCTTAATGACGAAGGATCAAACAAAAACATATAAACAACAAATGGGATTAGAAAGTTGCCGGACACCATAACTAGTGTGCGCCGACGTCATTTTGGAAACGCACGTTAATGAGGTGAAAAAGTCAGTGAAAGTTGCCACCAACAAACATTAAGGGGAAGGTGGACTAACTAATGACTAATGAGTACTGTTTACTAATTACTACGTGAAAAATAAGTGCCCCCATATTATCCCTATTTAGCTTTTATGTTTGTGGCTACAAATTTATTGTTTTCCTCTCTCAAGTCTCAACCCATGCATCCACGCGTAAGTCACAGGCTTCGGTCACGACTCACTAGTAATTTTACACAAACAAAAAATTAAAAATCCAGAGATTTCATGCTTACGTGACGCATTATTGAGAATTTCTAACAGTGTTTAATGTTACGTTTAGATTACAATTAATTCACATGAGGTGTTAAATTTTGTAAAATTACAGTGTTAATAACTTCTTTTTTGTCAATGTAAAGCTTCATTATTAAATTTAAAGTTATAAAAAATATATTAAGTTTATATAAGTTCATACAAATTTAAACTTACATAATATTTTGTCGTACCATTTATATTAACATATTATACATTATTTAAAATATAACTAAATATCTATTATTAAATTTCATATTTAAGAAAATATTTTAAAAATGATAGTTAGATTAAAAAAATTGTTAAAGGTATAAGTTTATAAAGTTTGATACTTTATATCTATTTGACCTTATATTGCGTATATATGCATGCCTCTTAATCTTTTGACTATTTACTGTATATGTGCATAAATTATTTTCCCTAGCTGTCCAAAAGCCGGAGATCAAAAGTGGAGATGAAAAGTAAACAAGTTGAGAAGGAAGAAGCGAAATTCTTATTTTTCATAGTGAAAAATATTTAATTTAGGCCGATTGACAGTGGAAATACTTTTATATCATCAATATATAGAGCATATGTATTGTATCACCTGTCAAAAAAGTTAAAAATAGCTGAAAAACTATAGTAATCACGATAATATGGCATTTTCTTATTTAAGAATTTAGAGAAGGGTTCCCGAGATATAGTTCAATTTGCAAGCACAAATTGTCTAAACCAAGTGACAGAATTGTCTGGATGACATGGATATCAACAAATATACAAAAGTTACTCGCTAATTTAAAGCGTGTGGAGGTGAAAATAAAAAAGTAGATAAACAGGGAAAGCAAAATTCACGGTCTATCAAATTCTCAAACGTGGATGCATTCATACATCTTTCTGTGTTGATGTACTCATATAAGTGCAAATGTCCATGGAGAAATAACTAGTTTAATTTTCCAAATTAAAATGAACTAGCCTAACGGTGGCAAAGACTGACAGACATTGCTATAGCTATTGTATGACCTTAAATTTATTTATTACGGAATTGAAAGGAATATTCTTGGGTAGTTTTCTTAGTTGAGCATTCTTTTTTGGGCAGTTTTATTTTGGTTGGCAGTTGATTCCTCCTGGACTATTAGCAAATAATAAAGCGATACTGAGTGGAGGATAACATGCAATCACTTCTATTGCCATTATAGTTAACCTTGATTGATTTAATGAAGAAAAAAGATAACTAAGCAATCGCTTCTTTTAGCGAGCTAAAGTAGGTTGCATGTGCTGCAAGAAATTTTAATGAAAAGAATAGTACAATTTAGGTGCTTCTCCTTTATCTACAGTAGTATATAGGCATGCACGGGTCCCTTTAGCCACTACCCAGTTTCCTTTGCTTTTTTTTTTTTTTCTTTTAATTTATTTACCTTCGGCATTCGAAACCCTTGTGGCCGCGTTAACACTACAATCACATCTCATCTCATGTAGTTAGTTTTTGCTTCTTTAGACAATAGGGAGCAGATCTCCAACACACAGGGAAATGAGAACGGCCACCATCGTGTAAAGTATCAGCATAATATAAGAAACTGCAGGACGAACTCAAGGAAAGAATTACTTATATTTCTTGAAGGACGCTACATATCAAAAAGTTTATCTATTCCCTTCCTTGGATAATGACCACGAAGACAACGATAATAATAATAATAATAGTAATAATACTGGATTGTAATACAAGTAAATTGTGACCCAAAGCAAATACACAATATCAAGAATTATTATTAAAATAACTTTAGAGAGAAACATACTCCACACACATCCCAGTTTTTCCCTAAAGCTACATTGCAAGTAAAATAACTTCGATAAACAACTATATTATGAAGCAAGAGAATACTAATAATTGAATTTGTATCCTCAGAGATGCATTTTTTAAATATGATAATATCATATAAAAATGAAATATAGAATTGACAAGAAAACTATGATAATAACTAAATACAATTTGGTTTTTTTAATAACATACGATGATATCTTCATAGCATGAAAACATTCAAATCCCTAAAACTTCAGCAATTGCACAATTTAGTGAAATTTTTGTTATCGAGAAGATAATATTAATTTTAAAAATATATAGATTGGACCAATTAGATGTTCATAAATAGGTTTAGACACATTTTTAATTATTATAATTTAGTAAAATTTAGATTTTAGTTTCTTAATTTCTTTTTAGTTTTAATTACTGATTTTTTAAAATTCAACACTTTTAATCTCTAATGATAACATGACAACAAAAAATTGACACCCCGCACAAAATCAATATACAACTTCTTAATTAATTACGTCACTATTAAAAGCAAAAATTTTAATTTTTTAAAAAAAACCCGAGATCAAAAAAACAAATAAAATAAATCCTCACAAAAATATAAGAACCAAAAGCATTTATAACTCACAAAAACGAGTTAATGGAGATAGGTTATGTGCCTGTTCAAAAATGAACGAGTAGGCTGTTTTAAGAATTAACCAGTTTTAGATAAATCCTAACCAATAAAACAGCCTACAACTCTGGCCAAACCAAAACGCATACAGCCCCCCTATTTGTCTATCTGTGATTGGATAAATCGCTAGTATCAATACTGATAAAGTCTGAAGTTATTTGTGAAGATTAACCACCAAACAGTGATTACATACTTTTTAATAAATAATTTCATCCATTGTTCCTCTATTAAAAGTCCCATTCTTTAGTGGCCATCTCTGCCTGCGTGCAGTTCAGCTTTCTTTGATCTGAGACCAGTGTCTTTCACTTTATCTTATCTGAGGAATCGACTAATATCTATATAATTGAAAAACAAAAACTAAATTATCACGAACATGGTAATTGGAAGGGTGGCAATTACAATAATCCAACATATACAAAAACTAACATATGTGTCGATATTTATAACCAGATGCAACAAGTTACCCCGGGATACTCAATCCAACACCAAGTATTCACATTCTGAGCATGCACGTGCGGCATGCACCAAAGACAATTTTGTCAGAAGAGAAACCAATTTCGTAACTCAGAAACGGGGTGCTCACAGAAATGTCCATTTCGATATTCATGGCGCCCACAGATACATTGGATGGTCACATGTTCACAGGAGGAGCTCCCTAAATATGACAATCACATTATTATAATTAGTATTATCCAAGTGAGCAGATTCAGTGAAATAATACCAAGAGAATAGAAACATGTCCCTTAAGCCATATCAGCAACATTGGGGCATTTAATTCGGAATGTAATGTTATAGTATTCCCAAACCAAGCAACTTGTCGAGACAAATGCAAAAAACATTTTCCTAAAAGAAATGCCAGTATGTCATTTCATTTAACCATAACTGGTCGACGCAAAATCTTACCTTAAATAGAAGATCATACGCTATATATTCCCAGGGCAACGATATGGACATTAAACTGCATTTCAAAGGTATCATCTCGTCAAAATTTGGGCTCGATGACGAGGCAGCTGCATAAGCATGCCTTGCTGCTACTGATGCAACAGAGGCTGCTCTGCGGACGATTACGCCAAGACCAAACCCCTTCTTTGATATAACTGGAGATGATGGGCCTGAATCCTCCTGGCTTTGATCTGACATTACAACAGATAGATTCCATTTCATCAATCTTTTTATCTATCTTCTAAATGTTAAAATTGAAACTTTAACTTTACAAACAAGGTTCACAAAATATTTGGTCAGAACGGTCAGACAAGAAACAGTATTGATCATTCAATATACACTGTAGAAGTACTTGCTATCCTGATAGAATAAAATTTAATTGCAAAATCATATAACATAAAACAGAAAGACAGACAGTAATATCATTATTTGAACATACTTTTGCCTGATGAATGAAAAATCATACTTTATAACTTATTTTCTTCCAATACATAAATTCAAGGGGAGGGGACTAGTATTTCAAATTTTCAATACAATCTTTGGAAATCCAATTCATAAAAAAGTTTTTTTACCTGCAACTCCCGAAACAGCTACTTCAACTTCTCCTCTGCCTCCAGGACCTTTCATGTAAATCCTGTCTGTTTTTCCAGGAAAATGGCCAACTGATAAAAGGCTCCCAAATCGAGACTTGCCAGCTGCAATTCAGCAACAGAGAATATATAAACTGACTAATGAGACAGCAGATATATGGTATGTGGCACCCATCAGTCATGTAAAATATAATAAACTTGTGGAATTTCACCATATAAAGGCAATTTTTGGTAGCATTCAAGTGAGAGAAGTCTCTTTTAAAAGAAGCAAAAAAAAAACTACTGTTAAGATGTCCCACAATCAGATAGAAATAGAGCTAGAATACTCTTTATAAGGCTCATGAAATCCTTCTTTGAACTAGCTTTTGAAAGTAAGTTAGACCTAGTTTTTCTAAGAGCTACAATAGTTAATGAATTACACAAGTTTCATTAGTTTCAAAGAGATAACATAGCAAGTCCAGATCAGGAATACATCCACAAATCTTTGTAAAATACTCTGGAGACATGAAATGTGCAAATATGTCCCCAACCGGTTCAAAAGCATTGCTACTTTATAGTATAAAAGAAGCAAATATCTAAATATAGATTACTGACGGAAAAACTACCATCATATGCATCTCGCACCATCTGATAGCTGACAAATCCTGAGAAAAGGGTAAGCTGCAAATCAGAGATATCAGAATGTTTAAAAACTAGTTATTTAAGAACTTCTGCATTTAAAGAGTTTTTGTTTGTTGACATACTCATTTAAGGAGATTCTTAGATACATCAGAGAGAAAATATTGAAAAAAATAATCTGTCCATCCATGAAAAAAGGAATGATTACACAGTGACTTTTGTTAACTTTATATACCCTTGGGTGCAGAAGGAACCGTGTATAGACACTATTGAAATTTTCATTTACTTTTTCTATGATGGGTTAATAGAGAGCTACACCAATGTATGAAAACCCATTTGGAACTAACATGGATTTCAGGTATTGTCTTATTAGCTTGAATTTAATCTGTTCTGTTACAGTAAGTCCTGCCAAACTGTTCTTAAAATTTCATCTGTTCAAGACCAGAAGTTCCTCTTGCCCCTTAATTTAATTTTGTAAAATACAGATACATACAAACGTAGTGAGACTAGTTTCAATTTGTAATGGCCATGCTATAAATCAGCAAAATGTACAGACAGTAATTCACTTTTCAATAACAAGTACAATTGCTATCTTAGCACTACATGTCCAAAAGTGACAATTCTTCCAACTTCATATGTCATTATTAAAGCACATAGAAGCAGTATCCAACCCATATTATGCAGCATATAAGTAAAACAGGAAAATGATTAGAAAGCACTAATCAGAGAATCAAACCTTTGTCTCTTTTTTTTTAGCATAAGAAGCATTGACTTCCAGAGAGTTGCTACTAGTACTACAATCATTTGACACCTTTTCACTAGGAAAGGCTGCCCCATCATGTGCGTTTAGAACTACACAATAGCAATGATCTTTTTCGGTCAAAACCTGCAGGGAAATAAAATGATCCAGACTTGCTTTAAAAAGTGATCAGAGCCAGAATGCAAAAACTAATGATATGTCTACTCCTGTAAATGGGGCAAGTCAAGAACAATGAAACAGGAGGAAACATTCTTAGAGAAAATAATTACAAGATGACAATGTGAATTAAGAATTTACCACCTATATCAATAAAAAATTTCAGCTCTTAATAACATAAGCCTTAACAATTAACAAGAGCAGCTATTAATCTGTACCAAATTTGTTCACTATCATACATTTTTTTAATATAAGTGGAAGTTTCACCACTTGTAGATAAAAAAGTGGAGCATCTTCGTTAAGTAGAAAATGTGAACCACAAAGGATATTGAATACTTAAAAATCCCACACATGGAAATGTGATTAAAAGCGTAATAATAACTTACTAAAATGGTTTATTACCACAGCATCAAAAGTGGAGTCAAAATCATCAATTGCAAAGCATATATCTGGATAAGCAGGTGTCGTTTCCACTTCCTATACACATGTCAATGCCAGTGTGATTGTTAATAAAATTATAAGAATGTCTAAAGTAGATAATATTCGTTCTTTCTCCTCAATGATATATTAAAAAAGATGGGTATACTTGCCTTTTTAGAGTCTAGCTGAAAATTTACACGACTTGGAGATGCATAAACAGTTTTCACAACCTGAGAACAAGCAGTGGGCCACATGCCAAATCAAAAAATATTCTATACATATATTTACGTTTAGAGCTTTAGACATCTTGACCTGAGAAGTATATATATTGCATTGGCTTAAAGCTTCACAAAAACCATCGTCCAAATCATAAGAAAAAAGGCTTTAGAGTTTTAGACGTCTTAAAATGAGAAGTATATATCAAGGTTGGCAAACTTGAGAATTTACATAAACTCGTGAAGTGTCTATAAACTCGAATCGTAAACTTGCAAGAGTTAACCTCATGCAAAAATAATGTTTAAAAAGTCACAATAATGAAGCAAAGCACAATAATAAAGTTAAAAGCATACTTAAATAGTAACACCATATAATGACCATGTGATTTTGGTGCCCTAATTCCAAATGTGGTGTTCCACAACTTGCAGGGAAGGAATAAAAGTGGTGGCCTAATTCCAAGTGGTATCATTTTGGTGAGAAAACATGATTCTCCTTTTGTTCTGCTAAACACGTGGAGTCAAATGTAAACTCTCAAGTTTATCTGAGTTCACCCAATTTTACCTAAAAACAAGTCTACATTCTACTTGACAAGACTTCCGTATCTGGGATCATACAAGTTTATGAGTTCAAATGCTAGTTTAACAACCATGGTACATATTACTGAGAAATAACTGCATTGGCTTAAACTTTCTCAAAAAAAGGGACCCTCCAGTCCAAAATCATAAGGAAAAAAAAAAGGTTTATTTACAAATATATTACAACTTTGCCAACACCAGTAAAAAGTAGATCATGGGAAAGAACAACATAATCAAAGTCAGCAGCAAGTATAACCTAAAATTCAAAGCTATTTCAAAGGGGAAAAAGCACTCTAATAAAGATATTGAATGAGGCAAATTACTGCTGTAGGACACAGAAGGGAATACTACCAACTACGAAGGAACTAAATTAGAATTGCAATTACAATTTAGGATAAATGCAAAAGGTTGAGAGCTAGTGTTCCAGGCAACCTTGATCAAAATATCAAAAAATTCAAAATAAAGATCAAGAACAAATGTAGGACAATCTATTAACCTCAAACTAACAGAAATCTAGAATTCACTGCAAGCAAGAGAAGCATCACACTTTCAAAATCTGAATCCATTAGAAGTGAAGTTCACTGTCACTGACGAAATGCACAAACAGGAACTGTATGTAGGTTCTTAAGACAAACCCTAGTGAGTCTTGCTATAGCAATTAATCATTACTCAAGATAACAAAATAAAAATAACAAAAAACAGAAGTTTGAATAAACCCTAAAGAACTAGTCTACCACTGAAGAAACAAAGGCTCAAAACCTGCCAAAGCAGTAGCCAGAACAGGGACATGATTCAACACTATCCCACCAAATTGAGGGTTGGGGTTGATAAATCTGCCATATATATATATATCAATATCATGTTTAAGACTTGTAATTTATTTTATTTACCGGTATTCACAACACACAAAAGGGTAGAACTAATGAAAAGGAAATTGAACATTATCTTATACAAACAATTACAAGTAGAGTAAGTGGAGATGACTCAACTGGGAGACAGAGATTCATTGCACTACATTTACCTTATATATAGGGGACAAAGGTGTATCCTGCCCAGCTCGATGGTTAAGAAGAACCTGGTGACTAGAGAAATAGATTGTTCAAATCAAACTGCCTAGATAAATGTTTATGAAGAGCAAGTGAATGATAACACTAAATTGAAAAGGCTTTATAAAGCTTATGCAAACACTCTCATGTCCTTCTATTCAAAACATATAAGTTTTTTCTTCTTTAAGTTACAGGATGTTTCAATAAGAAATTACTAGGTTACTCTAATTACAACCAACAGGTATAATGATCCAACAAAATAGGGTGGAAAACTGATGGAAGCTGAATTGGACACTGGTATTTGCCATAAAGGAAATCTTGCATATCAGAAACGGCCATATGATACTATCATACAACTCATCCATCTTGGTAACATTTTAAGAAAACAAGTAAAATTAAAGATCTACACTCTGTACATTCTGCATAAATCAATTGATGCTAGCATATGACTATCATATAAATGAAATACGAATAAATCCTCAGGGCAACCTGAAAAGTGGTGAAGCCACCTAAAAGATTAGGCGTGGGGAAACACCATGGTAGACAATGGACATAAAATTCAGGGAAGAAAATCATTACCTGCAAATCGCAACAGTTACACTGAATGATGTATGAGCAATTAGATTCAAGTAAAATGAACGCCTCCAGTCCACATCTATAGAAGTTTCATCAACTAAGTCGTTCAACTGGTGGAGAAAAAGTGAACAAAATTATTTGGCATCACAATGGATGGACTACCAAATCCTACGTCAAAAGAGTTATCCAATAAGCCACATCACATGTGTGTGTGTGTGTGTGTGTTCAAGAGAGCTTCAATAGATTTTAATATTGAATTTACCTTAGGTGTCCACCTGCGTACAAAATAAGGATCAACACTCTCCGTTTTGCTATTGGAACCAAAACCATGGGAACCCTGTAAGTAAAGAGTTATAAAAGGATCAACAATATTGCTCCTCAACTTTACAACCGTTAAATAAAGATTAACAAGAAATCGAGCGACATTTTTTTAGTTAAAAAAGACACACCAATTTTCTAACAAAGAAAACGAGATCATCATCTTGGCGTCCCCTTGACTCCTTGCCACGGACGAAATACAAATCAAAGACATCATGCCAAAACCTCATATCCATTTCGATATCAGAAGCATCTTGCTCCTCAACTACCGTTTTCCCTATTAAATTGGAGTGCTTCTTCACCATACTCAACAATTCATGCCTTAGCAACACAAATCAGAACAAAATAGTAATAATAATAAATAAATAAAGTACAGTGATGCATGACAGTATTTCTATTCATCCAAGAAAGATAGCCAGCAAAAAGAAGAATGCAGGATGCAACATCATGGAATTGCATTACACTTCCACAATCGACTCATAAAATTGGATGCAAAATTAAGGCACGAACAAGAGAAAGAATGTGAACAGAAGCACTATCGTGAATGTACCTCGAGGGGGTTTCGCCTCCGGCGCCAAACATTTTTTCTGAACCGTTTTTCCAGTTATCAAAATATCACCGTCGAAGAAACTAATAAAGACTAGGGTTTATGGCCAAGATTCGTAGCCGATGTGATCCGTAGCTTGCCTTCTGAATTTCTACAGTGCACGAGAAGAAGACAGGGAAGTTGTTCGGTGCTTTGACACGTTACGCCACTGTGGGAGCGAAGACACTATTTATTAGTCATTTAGTTTTATGTGTGATCCCTCTTGTCACCTGGTCGTTGTAGTATAGTGGTAAGTATTCCCGCCTGTCACGCGGGTGACCCGGGTTCGATCCCCGGCAACGGCGTCCTTCTCAAGTTTTTAAAATTAGATTTATTTTCTTTTTCTTTTTCTGTGAAATCGTTTCATTTTCGCTTCCTTTTGAATTGTGAGGATGAAGCCATATAAAAGGGCCACATGAATGATTTCTAGCCATTTAGTTTCTTAAAACTTTATCAAGGTTTTTTTATATGAGAGAAAAATGACGTTTTTAGTTTTGTATAATTTTAACTCTTGTGTCTTTAATTTTTAAGGTTATTAAATTACAGTTAAATTTAAGTATCCATATTTGATTTTTTTATGTATTTATTGTATATTATTATAATGCTTTTTGTGATTTAATATTTTTATTTTATTTTTCTAATATTAATATTTTTAACTTTGTTAGTGTCGTTGAGCTTTTTAATACATGAAATGAAAACAATTGAAACTCAGGCATTTATATGACCCCAAATATCTAAATCTTGTAGTAAGAAATCAAATTTTAAAATAATTTTTTTTATTTTTTAATAAAAATATCTTTAAATATGTTTGCAAATGAAGTTTTAAAAGATAAAAGGATAATTTTTCATTTTTAACTTAAGAAAATTATATATATTTATAAAATACATAAATATTGATTTTGTATTAACTTATTATTTATTTCTTGTATTAAAGAATTATTAGTTTTATCTATAAATAGTAAAAGTGAAAATTTCGCCCCAAACAGACAGTTAAATTGCTGACTCTAGAGCTTGTGATATTAATTAAATTAAACCCTATTTTAAGTGGCTTTTGTCACAGCTTAAGATAATCTGGTTTATCCGTGAATGTCACATATCATAGCCAAATTAATCAGGTTTTAGTGTTAATTTTTGTCAGTGTTTTTCACTGTTTTGGACACAAAAATAACATTAATACAATTTATGATTTTCGCAACAGGAAATAGTCGTAGTGGCCGAAAGGAGGAAGGGCGTCGATGTAAACTGGAACCGTGGAAGAAAAGTTAGACCGAGAATTGGGTGATTTTGTTTCAGCTAGTGCATGATTTGGTGATTTATTTATTTATTTAAGTGTGTATTTGTATTAGATTATTTGTATTGATTATGTAAAAAAAAAAAAAAAGGTTAAAAAATGTTATTTACTCTTTTTTGGTAAAAATTGAAATGTTAAATTATAACTTTTATTCATTTTTAGAAAATAAAATTTATTTAAGACAGGATAATTTTAGGGTTTATAATTAAAATTTATTATATATTTTTAAGTAAATTCTATTTTATTCTTTAATAATTTATTATTATAAATAAAAATATTATTACACATAATTTTATGTATTTTTAATAATTTGACATTCAAAGTGATTCATATTGAAAGTTAATGTGATAAATTACTAATTTTATATTAACTTAAAAAATATATTAAATTTCACAGTAAATTTATTTTTAAGAATAAGTTAAATATAAATTACTTTGCTTGAAATTTAACTTTCTTACACATTATAAAAATGATTTCTTATTGAAGATATGTTTCCTCCAATGATCAAAGTGATGCTTAGTGGGCCACCTGGCCCAATAATTTGACCGTCGTGGACAACGGGTTTAGTAGACAGATGGAAAAAAGTTTTGCTCAATTTGGACATGCAAAAGTGGCGTTTAAATTTTATTATTATTTAATTTAATTTACATTAAATTTAATTAAAAATTTTAATTTAATTTGAATTTAAAAAATTTAGACCTTATATTTTTATCATAGAAGTTTAAAGTAGTCTAATTAGATAAGCTCGTTTTGCTAGCTCTAAAATATTTGCTAAAATTTTATTTTGAAATTAAACTAACTAAATTCTTCCTTTAAAACTTAATAATGTAACATTAACACTCAATGAGAAAAGGTGAAATGGACATGAAATATAGGTGAATTTTGAAATGATGCAACAGTCTGTGCTTTACAATATATATTTATACATTAATTTGTCCGAATTGGTATAATACTCTAACAATTTTACTAATTGTCAAATTATTATTTGTAGAAATATAATACTCTAGCAAATTTTCAATTGCGTTTTTTTAAAATTAAAAAGGTTGAGAAAGAAAAATTAGGATTAAGGAGACGACCAGGTCAAAATTGTGGTGTCATAAAAAATTAACGAAGATACTCGATAACCTTTAATAATAAACCAATTCAAACTCAATAATTAAATTGTTCCGTTTCCGTTTTATTAATTATCCCAATATCATCTTTGAAACGCGTCCACTATTTCTTGGATTCCCTTGCTGCTGATGTTAAGTCAAGGGACAAAGTTTTAAAAGTAAAAGAAACTTTGTCCACCGAAACAATGCAATGATCATGACCCAAACGACAACATCATGTAACATGAAACAATTGAGAGAGAGTGCGTGTATATGTTAATTTTTTAAAGCAACTTTAGCCCACAGAACATGCTCAATCTACACTAGTAAACGAAACTTGCTGCAACTTGTTTTAAATTAATTAAATCCCATATAAATCAGAAGGCTACCAAACAGGGTATGATCACGATTCCTCCATGCTCATCTGCCTCCACCACCCCTCTCTCTCCCCTCTCTGGCTTTAATTAATTAACTCCTTTACCATTTTCTTTTTTCCTTTGATGGATATAAGAGACGAAAGTTTAGTTCATCAAACCCCATGTAAACCGAAAAAAGTCTATATTTATTATTTAATTAGCACCCTACAATAAATTAATTACCAGTTTGCTAAATTTGGTAACTAATTTTCAATGATGTTGAGCCACACATGAAGATCAATTTATGTACAATCAGAATGCATCGAATCCATAACTTGATTACAAATATGGGATTCATAATTTAATGCTATTCTCCAGTTATACTTAGCAAGATCGACGAACGAAATAAAATGTCACAGAAATGTTATATACTCTGAACAGAAGTCGCGCCAAACAAATTAGAAGTTGCACCAAGAACATTAAACGCAGGGAAATCAAGCTTAGTATAGATTATTTCATTACACATTAAACATTCTTGATTATGTATATCAGAGGCAACGGTGATTATTTCTTAATATCATGTTTGATCTCCAAAACCACTCCAAAACATATATATAACATTATAATATACGATCACTTACCAAGAAAATTAAGAGACGTTGATTGGATTTAATTTGCTCAAGGCCTCAAAGGATATTTATTGGTTTCTCTGTCACTAGTCTTGCTCGACAAGAACAGCTTCACTCTTCTTCCCTTTACCCGTCCTTCTCCTGCTGGCGGTGCCAACGACGCCATCATGGGGAAGATTTCCGTCGTTGAACATCAACGGCAAGTCGTTTTCATCTTCGGCATCTTCTTCTGTGGCGATGCGGATGCAAGAGCAACGATTTAACGATGCAAAAAAAGCCATTGTGACACCGTTGATGAACCACATTGCTACCCCATCAAGCTTTCCACAACCAGAAGATCCTTGGCTTGACGAAGAAGAGTCTCGAACCCTTGACTCAACGGGATTTGGTGATCGGAGACTGAAGAAGCCGTTGCAGGTGGAAGAGGCAGTGGCAGCCATGGAATTAGCTTGCATCTGCATCTAAGTTGAAAGGGAAGAGCATAAGAAGCTTCACGTTTCGTAGTTAACGGACTCTATTGAGATTGAATTTGATATTTTATTGTTATTCTTATGCGTCACTTTTCAGCGTGTCATTATAATTTGTTGAAATGCAAATACATCTTTTCCCCCTTTTTCTTTTTCACAAATTTCATATTAACAATTTTAATTACTTTTCATGGACCAATTGCAGTCATAATTCTATATTATAAATAGTTAACTACAATCTTAATCTTTATTTTTTAATTAATTATAACTATACTTTTTCCTTTAAAATATATTTTTCTTGTAGATTTATGTTTTCATATAAGAAAATATTAATAACATATTTTTACCACACTTTTTATCGCATTCGTTGAAGTTTATCAGAAATTATATTAATTAAAAAAATACTACCAATATTTTTTATGATATTAGTTGAAAAATACAATATTTTTTTTGCTAAAATTATAAAATATATATATACCATCGTATAATTTGTAATACATTCTAATGTAATTTTAAAAGGTTACTTATTAATTTTTTAATCAATATCTTAAGAATGAGAGTTGTAAATTAGTTAAATTATTTATAGCTCATTCAAATTTACTTATTAGGTTTATTTAAAAAATTATAATTTTGTTTGTTTTTGTTTCTATATATATTTTATTAATTTTTAATTTTTAATAGTTAGTTTGACAAAATTTAATATTTATAGAGTTATTAAGTAAATTAATTCTTTGAATGTTTATTTTTAAAGTACTGTTTTATTTTATTTTATTTTATATAAATATATCTTTTAAATACTTAAATTGATAAAAACAATATTCAAAACAGTTATTAAAGAAAGAAAGACACAAACAAGTTATTAAGTTAAGCTTAAACTTGAAAATTTTTAACTAAACTCCACTCAAAATTTAAATTTGTCTTATTTAAATAAACGAATTAATTAACACCAAACATCCTCTTCTATTCAAATGTAAAGTCCGAGATTTAAGTATTCAGTTTAATTAATTTAAATACTTATTCAAAGGTACTTGACAGCATGATCCCTAATTAAAAAGTAACATAAATAATTAAATCATATTTAATAAAAATAATTGAAAATAAGAAAATTATATTAAGAATGTGGTTAATAATACAGTTTAGAATAATTGAGCGTCAAACAAAAGTGATCGATGAGTATTTAATGTTGCATTGTATCTGACATAAAATACACGCTCAATACAGCTATTATTGAGCACAAGTTATGCTGACAAGTAATGTTCAATAATTACATCTTCGAAGAGGTGTTGCTTAATACATTCTCAATTTCTAGATTAAGATTTTTGTTAGATTATATATCTCTCTCACATGAAACATCAATTGCACTCGATCTTCTCATCATCTCATTCCTTCTCCTTTGGTTTATCCGTTTATGCTTTATAATTAATCTTTCTATCATTAGTAAGTCGGCTTCCCAAAAATAGTTTAATCAATTTATAAATGTATTTTAATAATACACAATAAAAATAAAATTTATCTTAACCACACTTAATAAAAAAAATTAATAAACAATAATTTATCATTAAAATTATAATATTTAATGTTATTAAATATATTAATTTTTATTGGTAAATTTTTCGTCAACATATAGTTTATCTAAATAAATTAAATTATTAATATAAATATTACATATTTATACTAGTAAGATGATACTTTATATTAATTAATAATTTATGAATATAACAGGTAGCATATATTATCAGATTGATTTTTATAAAAGAAATATCTACACCAACGAGGTTTTTTTTTTTTTTCCGGCATACTGTCAAATATTGGATTTGGTGCTTACTTATCTTTTCTCGAATGGGAATTAAATTTTAATATAATATTTTCATTTGTAAAAGTAAAAAATATAATATGAGCAAAATGGATTAAAAAATAAACAAGTTTAATTTAGTTACTTTAATGATAACAAGTGATAGTATTAAAATTCCGGATAATAATGGGAGTAGGTAAGAATTTTTAGTGACTATGGTCATTTTCATCGACGACCAGAATTTAGACAGGTGACGTTTTTAGGTTCCCGTTAAGATAACGGTATATTTAAAATATATCTCGTCAATGTATTTTGTAATGTACTTTTTCTTTCATTAAAAAGATGCATTGCAGTACTTTTTTATATTTAAAAATTTATCCTTAGATAATAATTTTAGTTTACAGCTTGATTAACTAAAATATAGTTTTAAATACATATATATATATATATAATAATAAAACGTATTAATTAAAAATACATACATGTAATACAATATTACAATAAATACCAAAAGTATAAAAATAATATAAATTAATTTTATAAATTGACTAAAATATGACACACAATGCAATTATGTAAAAAGAAACGAAACTTATGACATTTTTATCGTTGTTAAAAGCAAAATATAATTTTAAAAAAATATTTTTATTGCGATAGTGAATAAAATGAGTATTGACATAATGAAAAAATATATATTTAAAAAAAATATTATTTTAATTTTTTAAAAAAATTAAAAAATAAAGAATCCAAGAAATTGTACACTTTTTTTAAAAAAAAAAATATGGTATACCTATTATTACAACAATCTTGCAAGAAGCATTATTCATTTGATGTATATTACTTTTATAGTGCAACTCAATTTTTTAAGGTAACGAGTGTATGAATTTTTTTCCTTATAAATTATTCAATTTGTAAATAATTTCTGCTCTCTTCCAATGGATACATGTGTTTTTTTTCTTATAAATTTCTCTACTTATTCATGTCTCTTATCAAGTGAAATTTTATTTACACTTGATTCTAACAATATTTATTATATATATTTAATATAAAATTAATAATAATAATTTTATATTTATAAATTTCCTCTCATTCTACAAGAACCGGTAACACATTGGCAATGATGAGTATAAACTGTAATTTAGAAACCTAAACATGAACGTAATGAAGAAGGAAGCGTGAAATGGTACGTGGAAGTGGTGCGTCTAATCATGGGTTACCCCACTGGGTCTACCACGAGATTTTGACCCCATCGGTCTCCGATTACATATTCCAACCCATCACCTACTCTCTCAAAGGCCACATTCTAGGCAATTGCCTTGGAAAACCAAGCTCAATGTAAACGTCCAAACAGTGATTACTTTGAAATTAAATTTGTGTTCAATTTGATTTTAGACGAAGACCCGTGTAAAAATGGATTGTTAGTGCGTATTTTGGAAGTGACTTTAATTTGGACCCTGATGGATTACTTTAATTTGATTTTAGACAAAAGGAAGTTAATCTATGTTTATCAAAGATGTTGATGATTTAAATAACAAGAAGATGATTATTTCAAGCATGAGAAGAGTTACAATACACTATTTAACATTTTTAAAATTTTTAAACTATTGGTTAATTTTTATTAAAAATTACAAGAATACGAGACACAATAAATATATTAAAAATAAAAAAATGTAACTTATACAATTTTTAATAAATCATCACCAACAACAACATATTTACAGTGGGGGAAGAAAAGACAAGCGTATACAACAGGATCAATAGAAAGTGTGAAATGCTCGTCTGTGGTTAACACGTGTCTGTGATAGCTAGGTTAAAACGTTACCCAATTATATGTGGACACACTACATCTGAAACTCAATTAAGGATTATTTGGTATGGAGTTAATCCATTATTAAATTTTTTCAATTGAGCAGTTTCGAATGATTTGAGAGTGATTTTGGACTTTTGGTTCATCTGTAGCCTACATCGCATATCTTATCATCTTGTTTTTCATTTGTTTTTAATTCGAAACTGTTTATAAGATGTATTAAAATAAATAACGATACGAGTAATGTAATATTTAAAAATTAAAATTAGTAATGTTTATCTACTAGTACTCCGTGCTAAGATCGATGATGCTATTAGACTAAAAAAAACGTGTCATAACTTTTTCTTCGTTGCGTAAAAACTACAGATTCCGTAATTTTGTTCGTGTCTATTAAAGTCAACAATTTTTGAGAGACAGACACCTCTAGGTTTAGACGAATCTGTGTTGTGGTGTTCATGAGAACCTTACTAAAAACGATAAACTTATTCCATCTAAAGTTAAATGAATATATTTACAAATTACTGTAATTATTAAATAGTTTTATATTTTTAAGATAACAACTATAAATACTTTTTATTTAGAATTTTTAAAATGATAGAAAAATATTAAAAACAATATACAAGAAAATATAGCACCATTTATATAAAAGGAACTCTTCTGTCTGTCTTCCACTCCCCGACGCAAAGAAACACAATCCGAGTGGAGAAAGTATGTCGAAACTAGCCACCATCTTCACCTTCTATCTACTTTGCTTCGGCTTAATCTATGCCTCTCGTCCTAACGTTGAATTCGACAGCATCTTACAACATGGGGTACGTATATTTCTCAACTTTTATTCGCTTCAGCAACCAAAGACGTGAAAGAAAAATTCTATTTAATTTTTACACAGTTCTTACATCTAAGATTTATGATATTTTGTTGATCACTTACTGGGACTAAGAGGAATTGGCATGTCTGAAATGAAGGATGATGAAGCATACAAAGCATGGAAGGGAGAGTTGGATGAAGAGAGTTGCGAGAGAGTAGATGGCAGAGAGGAATGTTTGACGAGAAGAACACTAGCGGCTCATGTGGATTATATCTACACTCAGAAGCATAAACCCTGAAATTGAAGATAAATACTACAATCACACGCCCCCAGAGCCAGAGGAACAATACAGTATATAATCAAAAGATATATACATATATATAAATAAACAGTGTATATTTTCTGAATACAATTTTTGCTATTATCGCGTTCATAAATAATAAGCTTCGTTTTATTATCATTATTTGTTTTTGTCTTTAGAATTAGCCGAATTCAATCTTTTGAATACTTCATCCTATGGCTCGCGCCGCTGCTCAGAAACGCTCAGCTCAAATAATGGAAGAACCATGGTTTTCTTTTGGGAGAAATTCTGTGTATTTTAATGCAACCTTATCTAATAATTTTGCGTTTAAAGTGTTTTTTATTCTTCTCTTCTAATTACATGCTTCCTCCATTTTAAAGCCTGCATCTTCTAACTTGTATGTTAGATCAAATCCATACTCTCTTTTTTTATTAATTTTCAATTAAATCATTTTTTTAAATTTTTTTAATCAATGTTCGAATTTCTTTGACCGATATTAATATAGTAAATATTTTTAAATCATCGTAAAAATATTTTAATTTATATTTTCATAACTAATAAATAATATTTTGTAAATACAATATTTTAAAAATTATTTTATATTTTTAACGTGTATTTTAGCCTTAGAGACACAAAATAAAAATTTATATAAATTATATGATATAACTAAAATTAATTATATAAATATATAAAATTTTAATAAAAATGTATTTATCATTATTTTTTATTATGTTCCATCTGATATACGTTAGAAATTTTTTGTATTTTAATATCTTACTTATAATGTTAAAATTATAACTTTTGGTGTAAGATAAATGTCAAATGAATGCATGATATTGAATAAGGAGTAAAATGTTTGATATAAAAAGTGTTGTTTTTCAGATTTTTTAAAAAACTATAATTATAATTTTATTTCAATAAAAAGTGGTCATTTAATATTATTATAGACTATCAAGAAAAAAATGTTATTTTGATTAAAATTATAACTAAAAGCACCAAACAACTCAGCTTAAATTTTTTCCAAATTAAAAATATAAAATAAGTATTTTGTGCATTGTCCGGGTACTTATTGGTTTAAATAAAAATATATATAAGTAGCTTAAATACGTATAGTTAAGGTTTGTAGTAATTTTGTTAAATAAAAAAGTGATTGAAAAGCAGTAATCAATAATTTCGACCTTTTCCAGTCCAAATAATAATAATAATAAAAGGAATATGATAATAGATAGCGGAGAAATTTTATAAACCTTATGAGAATTTGTGAATTGTGAATTGTGACTTTGAACAATGAATATGGGATGTGCATTAATCATTTGAGGAGTATTTATTCAATAAGCCAAAAATTTTCTTCCTTTTCCAGTCCTGTAAGGCTGTAACCTCTCCCTACTGCAACCAAAGGTTCGATTACTGTTATGTGGATATTAATTCTCATTATTCATAGTCATAATTGAACCTTTGTCAAAATTCAGAGATGTCTCAGACGCATCCCTCTATGATTGATGCCACAATATAAATAAATGACCACTTGAGTTCACATATAACAACTTAATATCTAGAATTTTGTTATTTAAAAGTTGATGTTGTGTGTAGTATTATATATTTTTTATTTTATTATCTTTATATATATATACATATTTGAAATAATTTATAAACTAAAAAATATCTCACTTTTATATATATAACATTTTCCTCCTCCTGCGTATGGAGCAGAATAATTTCCTGAATATTTTTTGAGCCTTGTGCCTAAAGGAGTCTCTGACATGGACTGCCAGTGTCGCCTTCAAATCATAGAACTCCTTTGTTGGTCAGTTAGAAAAAGGCTTCAGACCAAAAACGAATATTAACATAATTAATTATTTATTTAATAAAATTGTGTTACATAAAAAGTCATACAATAAATTTAATCATAATTTATTTAAATAAATTGTAAAAATAATTTAATAAATTATATAAAAAATATTCAAAATAATTTTAAAATTCTGAATTAATTTTATAAATTTTCTTAAACACCGCCTAAATTCAATTTTGGCCATCTTCTATTTAGTATGATGTTGATGTTGGCAAAGAAACGAATATGCAATTTAATATGATTATTATAATATATAATTAACTGTAAAAGTCTATTAATTATATTTCCTTTCTTATGTCCTTTTATTATTATTCAAATACATTACTCAAGAAAAAAACAAAGAATTTCAGTTTACCGTAAATTTTCTTTTTCGATACAAAGGTAGACCAGCAGGTTGCATGGGACGATAGAATTCCGATTAATTCGAGATTAAGAACACATCTATGTATCATTATTTATATTTTTACATTTTGTTTGGTTATAAATAAAAATATTTTTAAAAGTTTCTAAATAATATTATGGTAATGCGTCGTAGATGCAGAATTACGACATGAACACCAAATGCTTTCCATCCAAATTCCAACCTTACAAACAATATTTAACTGAAGAAAAAAAAAAAAAACTTAAATCAAAAGAGATTGTGAATCTGTTTCTCAAAAGTATAGTGTCAAGCCGTGTGCCTCACCTCACCGTGTAGAAGTGTTTTATCCGTTGACCCCAAAAAAAGTGTCTTATCCCACAAAAAAAATGTTTCGAAGAGTTTATTTAATTATGTAAAAATGATTTATAATTTTTAGAATATTTTAATAAGATTTTAATGTGAATTATTAAAATACTATTTTAATTTGTTTTAATAATTTTTACAGTTTAATTATGGTATAATTTATTAAATTATAAGAATTTACTAAGTAAAAACTTGATTAAATTGTTTACTCCATTAATATATAAAAGACCAATAAAAATTGAAAACAAAAAAAAAATCAATGAAAATAATTTATTTAATCGTTTCTTTTGTTTAACTGCCATACAGCTTTACAAAAATAATTATAGTAACAGATCAATCACAATTCAATGATTAAATCAATACAAATTATATTGTATACAAAGTCATTAAACACTGAATGCATGTTAAATCTTAACTAGCATAAATTTTCTCTTCCAGGCGCACACCCATGAGTGCCTACGTGCGCTTTGTATGTACTTATTTTAAGATCAAGAACTATCAAACTTGTTTAGTTAATAATTTTCTATAAATATTAAATTTCATATATTTAATTATTAGATACAATTTTTTTTTTAGTAGATTAAGTTTTAATTTTTTTATTAAAACTAAAAAAATTCAATACTCTATTAATAAGTTTCATTTCAATGGATAAATGCTTTTTGGGTATAAATTCAAGTGTAAGATTATACAACAATAACCTTATCCTACCAAGTGTTAACTATAAAATTATATACTTAAAAAAAACTATCTAAAATTTAATGCATATAATTATTAAAATAATATCACGCAATACAGTTATTGAACTGATTAAATTCAAATACTATTTAAAGTTTTCATAAGAAATAAGCATTCAAAACTTAAAATGCATTATGGTAAATAATTCAATTACAGACTAATTCAGTAAGTGTTTATTATATCTTGAGCATAAATCTGATTAAAAAGTATTTAAGTAAAATAAAGTGTTTTTTATTAAGATAAAAAAAATGTTGAAACAAGTTCAAAAAATTTATTAAAAAATTAGTTATTTTCATAAAATTTACCTAAATTCTTTTAAGGTGTTCACTACGGTATCCATAAATATAAAAAAATAGTATATTTTTTCTTTTAAAGCTCTTGCTAAGATATTCATAAAAAATTGTTTGAGATTAAATTCGAATAGCACCTGTTTAACGACTAATTGAGGAAGCATAAATGAATCCACAAACGAATCTGGAGGCGAATAGTTTCATATGCCAAGCGCCGCGATGAAGCATACATGCCCAGCACAAAATTAGTTGGCACCGCATACGTATTACCCCATCCAAAGATTTTTTTAGCTGCCCAATAGCCCTTGGGGTTATTTGACCAAAAACAAAAGGGTATCGATATCCTTCCTTGTTGGACCAATAAAAGTCTAACATATGTATACATTAAAACTACATTTGATATTAGTTGAAATTAAACAACTGCATAGGCTTGCATCATTGAAGGAAAAATCTGCCAGACGAATTGACAAGTTTTCTGGGATATAATCTACACGTTTGCCACCACCATTTAAACAATTAACACACAAAGGCTTCAAAATACAATTAACCTTCTAGTATAAGCATCGTTCACTATTTATAACACACATAGATTTAGTTCAGTGCAAGATCGCTAGTAAGCCCATCAAACAACTTTAATTGCTATAAAATATTCCGAATCATATTATTTTGTGGTGAGTTAAACGTAATTGATCTGAAAGTTTACATAGTAGTGCTTATTTTGCTCCAAAAAATGCTAGTGTTTAAACACAGTGAAATATGACGCTAACGTTGGTGAAAACAATGCCACGAGTGTTTCTCCGATTCGCAATGCTAACGACCCAAAAGAGGAGTATGTGATGACAGGTGGTCAAAAGGGGCATCCATTGTTAGAGCCGCTACAACGAAACTGATTAAGTTGTTGACTCGACCTTGCTCGGAGGGGAATACAGTTGGGGGTTGAGGCAAATTTGATGTTGGGGGGGCTTGGGATTGAAATTGATGAGGCTGACCCATCCTTATGTGATCGTGAAGGTTATGATGAGGATACCAAACTTCTTAAACACAAGCAATCTTTTTAACTATTAAGTCTTAACCTCAGCTCATTCAAGGCAAAAGAAAAAGAAAAAAAAAGAGACACAATTCTACAGATCAGTAACTTTCAAAGAAACAAGGAATCAAATTACGTATAATATTATATTCAGCGTGACGAAGAGTAGCACTGGCATGTTCTATAAGCGCTATAGATATAAGCATCATTTATTCAACTGGATAGAGCAAGAGCTTTGATGACAACTTCAAAACCTACTGGTCCATTGCTGGAAAGAGTTTCATGAATAGAAGACAACTGGCCCATTTTTAGGCGTATAACAGTCAAGAATGGTGAAGTACCACAGAGATAACACTCTGATTGTAAAGGTTTAGATACTCAGAAAGAGAAACACAACAACATCAGAAGCGATTAAATGGAAAACTACTCTCATATAATAAGGCATGTTAACCTAATATCAAAGAAACCATTGGAAGCTCTATCTAGTACATGAAACGGACAATACTGATTAGTATATATCAACAACGATGTAAAGAATTTAAAGCATGCATATGCTCTTGGTGTTCTCGTTAGTGTGCATATGCTTATGATTGTGATATTCTTGTCAGAAAACAATGCATCATGATTTAGGGCACATTAGATTTAGTCCATCCAAAAGAAGAACTCAAATAAATTGTGTTAACACAGTTAGAACCAAATCTTTTTCCAGATAAATTGTCAATAATCTGTTGAAACCAAATCTTTTCAAAATATGGAAGTTAGCATAGATGTTTTGTTTCTTCATATATTTTTTCCCTTTCAAAGACCTACTTAGTATCAGCAGCAAAATCAACGATCTCATGTTTGCTAACTAAAAAATAAAATGTCAACTTTACACAAATGTTGATTAGAATCATAGCAATCAAAGATAGATCTTTGGAAATCTTTGCTAACCAACATCCATATCAAAAGCAATTCTTATTTCAAGCTTGCCACAAAACTTGTTATTTTGCTAACCTATATTACATTAAATATGCAGTTTGTAGTTCTTATGGCTATTGGCAAAACCAAGTCTCATGCATAAGAATCAGGAATTCTCAACAAAGAGAAATGGATTCAAACCCAGATCTTAAATATAAGTGAAGCTAAACTCACCTGACTAAATCAACAATCTTAAAATTAGTCAGATACATACCACAGCGGCCAGCTCCAGTCAGCAGTCTCAGAAAGTCAAGTCTGCTATGTAATCACTAAATTATATAGAAAAAGAAAGCAACATATTCAACCAAATATTATTATCAATTTGTCATATAAAAAACAAATAAATGTATTCAAAATTGTTTTTCTTTTATCTTCTGAAGGAGGAATAAAATTACAAAGAGTGAGGAAGCAAGGTTAAATTGGAAGAATATCATTCACAAACTCTGCAGATGAATATACTTTAAACATTACAATGATAGAGCAGCTTACTTTATGTGTGTTTGGGTACACATCCATTGATCTCACACATGCATTTTTTATCGCTCCAAGGAGTAGCTTCTATATGTTCACTGTACATTTCCTTGGTTTTAGCGTGTATCCAGACACCTTATTTGTTTCCTTTCAAGAGAGCAGTATAAAAAGTTACTCCAATTTTTGGACATCTTGTGTTTCATGCATCCAGCAATGCACTGAAGCAATGTAAATTTGAGCAAAAAAATGGCTCAAACTACTGCCCTTTCTTTTGGGGGGAGGGAACGGACAAAGACTAAGAGCCTGTTTGTATTAAAAGCAGAATCGATTCCGTTGGCGGTGGAAAATTATCACTACCATTCAACTAATTTGGTGTATATTTTTGTTAAAAAAATATGCAGGCACCATCTTTCTGTTAAAATCAATTACACTACCTTAAATGTGTAATCAAACAGGCTCTAAGAGTGGTAACTTGAAGATTACATGCAAAATTCTTTTCGCCCACTAAAGTATGACCGCAATTTTAATAGTTGGAAATATTTATTTATGTCAACAGACTTAAAGAGCTAATGTTGTTTCCATTTTCCATTAAATTCCAACTGCATTACAATTAAGGGGGGATCAATCATCATGCTAAGCTGGCAAGAGAATACTACTACCACCCATAATATGCAAATACAAAGCAAGATACAATGTAAGAATAACTGATGACTTAGCTCCAACAAATTTAACCACTTCCAGTCCTTTATCCACAACCTCATCATGGACTTTACTGACACTCTTCTTGAACCCTTCCGATATTCTCCATAAAAAGAATGCCACGAATGACCTCACCGTTTCAAAAGTCACTCTCCCTGTGACATCAAGCACAAACCTTCGGTTAGCTGGCACCGAAAGTGTCGACTTAATCTGATCGAGCCACCGAACATCCTGAACTTGACTAACCGAGCTTCCAATTCTGAGCTGCTGAAGCAATGCGTCATGCTTTAGGCACCCATCCTCACTCATGGGAACAACAGAAGCCACAGATGAACTCGAATTCGACCGCACACTTGAATTTGTCAACACCTGGTGAGACGTCCTAACAAAAGTTTCAACAGCACCATTACACACAGAAACCAGAACGCCCTTCACCTTCTCCTGGTGCTTGGGATTCGACAATCCAGCAAACATTTCATCGTAGGTATTGACATCCATACTTTTATCAAGAAAAACAGCAACCGCAGTGCTCACAAAAACCTGTACACAATCCCCTATAAGCTTCCCACACCTTTCATCGCAAATCACATTCACCCATCCAGGAACGTCCAATTGAGATCGCTCATTCACTCTATCACCCACCGATTCAGCATTGACGAAACTCAAAACCAAGTTCCTCGCGAAGCTTCCAACCACAACGGACATAAAACCAGTTCCAGCCTTCGAGAAAAGCTTCTCCAACACCCTATCCGAAAAATCGGCGCTGATCTCAGAGCGATTGTTATCGTCACTCGCCTGTCTTTTATACCCTAGCAAAATCCCAAGCGTTAGAGCCTCAGAAACCCTAGCCAGCGAAGCGGAGAACTCATTCGAGGTTGCGAGTTTCGATAACTGTTTCAAACTGTTAGGGATTTGATCGGAATCTGAAGCGAGGAATTGGTTCAAATCATTGGAGATTAGATTGACAGTGTCCGCAGAATTAGAAATTAACTCGGCAACAGAAACGAAGGCTCTGAGGAGCTTCACGAAACGTTTCCGCTTCTGAGCTAGATACGGTGAATTGTAGGCCTTATATGCGCCGTAACCTGAAGCTCCGAACGCGGCAATAAGGAGAAGCCAGTTTTTGTTTCTTCGAGAAAAATCGAGACACTTCCTGAGAATCGGAAGGTCCATAGAAATCGGAAGGGGAAATGAAAACCCTAAGGGATGTGTCAGAAGGGCGAAGTTTGAAGTGAGGTTGGTTTTGGTAATGTAGTTAACTACGGACGTTGGATTGAAGGGGAAAATAAATAGCGAAGATGAAGGTAGCGAAAGCGAAGGGAAAGGGAAATAAATAGAGTTGATGGATTAGTTGAGGGGGAAATTGGTATCCGTTAAATGTAAATATTATAGTTCCTCTGACAATTTCTAACTTTGCTTTGGCTTAATCTTTTTCTTTTAACTGAGTTTTCAGTTAGCATTGAATCGTGTCAAGAAGGAAAATACCTTACAAGTTTCGATGTAACGATGCCCTGGGTTTTGTTCACCTTTTTGAAAAAGAGAGGAAGAAGACACGAAGACTTACCGGACCAATTGCCAGACACGGCGCCAAATAAGAGGTTGTTGAAGCTCTCGTCAATGCCCTCCCCGTGTTTGTCACAACGGCATGCAAAGTAAAAGATGGAACGCGTGATGCATAATAATAACCAAAAAATGAAATAAGGTTTTGTACATGTTTAATTAATTGTATATGTTTAATTCTCTTTGGTATTATTTTTTTCTAGACCATAACAATCCCTCACACGCCCAACTTTTTAACATTAAAGTGATCTACCTTCTTTTTTTTTATGGTTTTTTCATTGTAAAGCATCTTCACAAATAAATAAACATAGCTTAAGAAAGTTTTGGCCTTTCAAATACCCATGTATTCGCGTATGCATTGATGCTATTAATTGAAACTTATATATTATATCTTTAACTTTTTAATGTGTTTCCAAATATATGTTAAACGCGTGTAAATTTTATAAATAGCATAAATTTTTAAAATTACACGAGTGAATATATTTGTATTTTTTTAATAAAAAAAAGGGGTATGAATAAAAAGAATATAAAACGTAATATCGTCTACACTCTTGGCCTAAAATCAGATGGGTTGCTTGCATTTCGATATAACCTAATCCTCATATGGACTAAATTTTGGAAATATTGAATCCGTTTCTTTGGATTTTTAAATAAAATATTTTAAAAAACCACTTTTAGATTATTCTTTAACATTTGATTAAACTTTTTTTAAGATAAGATTTTCAAAATAATCAATTTTATACTTTTGTGAAGAAGTTATTTTAAGTATTGTTTTTCAATTATTTATTTTTAAAGACTATTTCAAGTAGCCATTTCAAATAAAAAGTGCTTTATATGATTGTAAACAAATACAATTCAATTTCTAGTTATACAAAAAATATTATCTTGTCAACTATTTATATAAAAATCTTTAAAAATTCAAATTTTTTTGTTTGACAAAAACAAGCCTCTCAAATATAAAAATGGCCCATTACCACGCTTCTCATCCTGGACCAAATAAAACAGCTTCTCACCATTGGCATGATCGCATTTCTTGGACGGACATGAGTAAGCACGACCCAAAAAGAAAACAGAAAAAACCTCATGAAAGGTTTGACGAAAAAGATAGCCTAATAAAAGGAGAACATTGTGTATGGCCTAGGTAACCATAATTTACTCGGGCTATAGATGCCCAAGGAAAACATTGGCATGTGTTACAAATTTCGTTTAAAAGAATTAGTTTTTCATTGTAAATGATATTTCAAAATAACTAAAGAAATTATTTTACATGCATTTAAGTTCAGGGAATACAAAGTAATTTAGAATAATATGTCATTTTAGTCATTCAAATTATAAATATCGGCCAATTAGTCCCCAAAGTTATGAAATAAAAAACCCCTAAAATTATTAAAATTCGTTTATTTTAATCTTTAAAATTACAAACACATAATTTAATCTTTAAAATTGTGACAAATTTTAATTCCTAAAATTGTATATGTGTTGGCACTAAAATAGTTGAATCTCTTTTTCATATTACCTTGTCAAATTTGTCTAACAACATATCAAAGGTGATAGATTAAATGCCAAAGTAACCTTTTTTATGTCAAAGAAAAAGTCTTGCTAACTAGTGTTTTTAGAGAATAAAAAAGGATATTTTTTTTATTGGAATTTACGTTAAATTGCAAAAAAAATCAGGAGAACAAGTGCATTTATTAGGTTCTCTGACAAAATATTTCTAACTTTAATTCCTTAATTTTACTAGTTAGCATTTACCATTTAAAAAAAAAAAAAAAAAACCATCATTGAAGTTTTACATCTAAAACGTCTGCTAGAGCGAATCAATTGCAGACCTCAGCACTGACCAAATAGGAGAGTTTGTTATTTGTGACACTGCCTACCAAAATATAAAACATAAGTACAATAGTACTCAGGTCTGTGTAAAAACTAGAGGGGATCCCTCTCCTAAATCAGTAACCTTCGACCTCTCATGTATTTGACCTGAACGCTTTACGCAGAGGAAAATCCGGCATAGGTATATACTCAACTCATCCCATTCGATCATTCAAAGTAATTCAAATCGTCACTTTATTGTTTTCAAACACAGTTGACAGCAAGGCCAATAAGGAGATCAAGCCAAAAAGAAAAAAGAGCGCATCCCAAACTCTACTACAGCCGCCTGAAAAAATATATATTTTTTTAAATAAAAATCAAACATGCAGGAGTCTATTTTTGACAGCAAACGAGATTTTATATACACTTCTTGCACCTATATGATGTACCTTCTGATACACGGCTGTCTCTCGAATTCTTGCACATATTTCGTCCCACATTCTCGTTTAGGGTCTTAATATTGGGGACTAAACATTGAATCACTGTCTTAGCTCCACTCTTTCCTTTTCATTTCAGTTGTTCCAAAACACAACATCCACCTGATAACCCATATCTAGCCTTGCAGCAAAAACGATGTAGGAAAAAAAAGGATTAACAAGTTCGTCTTAACTGCCTCAAATAGCATCACGGCATTTTAGTAGCTAAGTTCACCATTCATTATATACAAAAGAATGCTTCAGACACCAGTACTCATGCTTTTCCAAGCATTGGGCAACTCTATTTACTGGTCTTAGTTCTGAGTGAAGATCTAGTGGCCCTAAAATTACCACAATCGTGTTGTCAGGAGTCAAGTTTCACACCACCTTTGAACCTTTATTGGAACTAACAGGTTTAATGCCATAATCATCATCCTCGAGATCACTGAAAGATATGTCTTCTTCATTCACCATGGGATGAATTGTCCCACCATATTCCCCTAAATCAGAATCTTCCTCAGGCCATTCATCATCTTCGTCGTCATAGTCCTGAATAATGATTTGGGAGGGTCTTCTACATTTTAGATCCTTGCTGTCGTCAGTTTTCATGATTGAATTTTCCTCAATAACAGACTTGTCAATGAAATTTGTTCCAGAACTTTCAACTGTGTGCTTCTCAGTCACATAATTTGCCACCATGGATAAAGAGGTTATTCTACATTCATATGTCCGATTAGGCAAGTCATCAGAATACGCATCATCTAATAAGTTGGGGGTATAATCATCATGGTGCATATTGTCTCTTGGGTAGGAAGTACTTCTTCCAAAAATTTCAAATTCAGGCTTTGTTTGTTTCTGCAATTCCTGCATCCACATTGCTCTAGCTGCCATAACCTGCAAATGTTAAAACCAAGACTAAGACATTGGAAAGGTTCATCGACCCATTATGGTAGATGCAAAATACTAGCTGAATGTAGAAATACAGTTAAACTTTAGATATGAACATTAGAGTCCAATATTGTTGATCACTGAACCAATAAAAGCAAAGGAACACTTGAATAAATCTCGAGATATAGCAAATATTTTTTGTGGCTACACAATAAAAGATCCAATTTAGTCCAAACTTTTCTCTTTTCAAAATAGCCACAAACAATTCAAACTGGAAAGAGAAACAACTTCTGTATACCAAATTTTATTATTAACCATCCAATCATATAGCATAATTACAACGAGTCAAGAAGATAATAAAACATATGGGACTCTAACATAAAATTGCAGATATTTCTTGTCAAAGCTTGTTATTTGTCTATCTTTCAACTAAGAGAAATAATATTTGAGGAAAGTACATTATAAGTACTTATGGTATTATAATACCAATAACATGTGCCATCAACATTCACTGCAGATAAAAGGATTGTTAGCATCAGTGATAATGCCCTTCTCATAAGAGAGAATCATATGCAAATAAAAGGAATCAAAATTTTGCATTTTCCTCAGCATCAAACATTTCCCACCTGTCCTTACAAAATGAGAAGAAATTTTACAAAATAGAGCACAGAAGAAATAGAAATGTACTTATTGAAGTCCAACGAGACAGCAGAGAGAGTGTTGGACAGGTAATGAGAAAGTACAATTTTTGAAGCTCAAAAACATCTCCCAACTGACACAGAATGTTAAATATTCCTTAGATTATTGAGTATTTACTATAACAAAATCAGTACGGACTGAAGTGATTTCATGATTCATCTTGTTAAAAACACAAATCATACAGTGCAGAGTCACCCCACCACTAGTCATGAAAAAACAAGCTGGAATATCTAGACTTTTAAAATCTTGAAATTCTAGAATAAAATAAATCTGATTCATTGAGAATGACTTTGAATTGTATTCAACATATGATCCTTTTTCAGTTCAAATAATCAAATTCCACAATCTACAAAGTTGGGAAGTGAGCAACATGAACCAAAGGAATAATCACAACAGTAAGGTAACATTTGAACTCCATATTAAGCTTCATTTGTATCAGTTGCAAACAGAGGTTTGCCCAATAAGAAAAAAGGGAATGTTAGCAATTCACTCTGTAACACACCTCCTATTGTTAGCTAAAATTTATTGAAAATGACAAAAATCATGTGAGTCTCACTCTCAATTTAATATTTATCTCTCACACTATTGCGGTCTTTAGTTAATTTTAGCCAATAACAAAGATTGTATTAAAAAAAAAGTGTATTAGATAATGTGTTGCTAGCATTCCTCTAAGAAAAAATGTACTTTTGTCCAACAATATTGGAAATTGTGCTTATGTAAATTTCAGCCATTGGATCTACAGAATACGCTGATTGCAAAAACCCATGTAACTGACCTGTGGTGTGGACAAAATCCCTGCATCTTCTTTATTAAGTCTTGAATGCAAAAGTACAAAATAGACTTTCCAGAAGTAACTTTCACTCATATGGCAAGGACATAGTTCAATTCTGAGAGCAGCTAATCTAGGAGTTAGTCTTTCAATGACTGCGGCATGCTCTTGTTGTGCATCGGACACGTCAAAATCTAAATGCACAAAAAATGCATCATATAAAAAATCTCTAACCATGTAAGGGACCAAAAAAATTCAATTAAATCACGCAACAGGTTTACACTGTCATATGTTATTATCTAAGTTGAACAATTCACATTTAAAAGTGGTTATAACTACAAGCAATTTAAAATTCAAGTGCTTAATATGATCCACTGAAGAAGTTCTATCTTTATTTAGGGGAAGCAATGTGGAATTGATGAAGGTTACCATCTGTGTCGTCTTCCTCGTCAATAGGAAAATCCAACCACGTCTCGGGATGCATTGCGATATTCATGGCGAAGGCCAACACCTCTTCTGTAATTCCAACCGCACGTTCCGGTTCCTGATTTTCTTCGGAATCGGATCGGGACGAAACCGAATTCGGTTGAGGATGATCGGTGCGAACCGTTCCCTGTTCACCGTCGGTAGAGTGATTGGACATAATTGCGTCATCGAACTGTGGCTCTTCGTTTGGAGAAACAACGCGATGATCGGATTGGTTGGAAATGAATGGGGAAGGATCGGATTGAGAAGGCGTGGCAGTTGGGGGAGGAACAAGGAAAGAGGCCATTCCCCAAAATTGGCGAGTTAGGGCTTGCTTGATTTCGTCGAGGTCCTCAGTTGCGGAAGGAGCGGAAGAGGACGTTCCCCAAAATTGGCGGGTTAGGGTTTGCTTGATTTCGTTGAGGTCCTCTCTGACTCCAGCACGTCCTTGCGTTTCTTGATCTTCATTTTGTTCTTCTTCTTCCTGATGTATTTTTGATCGAATTGCATTGTCTCGTGAAGTAGGTGGATCGAGTACGACGTCGTTTTCAACGTCTCCATCGGCATCGAGTCGGAGAGAGTTTGCAAGGGAACGAGCGAGCCATGACATTTTCTCCTTCAAAAAAACAAACAAGGAGATCCTTGGAATGTGACCTGTGAAATGAAGAGCGTAAAGGGGATGGGCTGGGATGGGATCAGGTGTTTTATGCACTCCTGTGGTCTGTGGAAGTCTACCTTTGTTAGACACGTCGCTCTATTCTAAGTGGTTCACGGCTCTAACTAAATCCCAAATTAAACCGTTGGAACTTGGAATACAATTACACGAGACAAACAATATCATTTGCTCAATTAAAATTAGTATTACCATTGTTTTATTTTATTTTTGTTCAACTATAGTAGGATTTTTTATCTAAATAAAATAAAAAATTAAAATATTACGTATATATATCAAAATAAAAAGTTTTACAAAAATATTCTAATTTAAATTATATAAAAATCGATTAAAGTTAACTTTAATTCTAATATACAAGTCAATTTATGTTATTTTTAACATTATAATAAAGAAGTTTATTATAATTAATTTTAATTAAAAAATTAATTTAAATTATTTTTTAACAGTATAGTAAAAAAATCTTATAAGAAAGTTGATTATAATTAACTTTAATTAGACAAAATTTTTGATTTAAATTATTTTTTTCAGTGTAATGAAAAAATCGATTATAACATAAAAAAGTTAATTATAACTAATTTTAATTTAAAACGAGAATTCATGTATATTTTTTTTAGTTTGAATTATGTTTAGTGTATACATAATTTATATAATTTCTTTTAATCTTTTATTTAAATTATAAAAATAAATTTATTAATATTTTTATCTAATAATTTTACAAATTATTAGATAATATCAATATAAAATAATATTTTAAAAGATAAAATTTAAATTTTAAAGTACATGAAATTTAAATTCAAAAATATATAAAATTAAAATTTCAGTTATATTAATATGGATATAAATATTGTATATTTTAATTGATTGATAGTGTAATTATTTTATATAAATAATGCATCAAAATTAAAATATACTTAATGTTATCATATTTATGAAAATAATTATGATTGTCAAAATTAAACTATACTTAATATTACATTACAAAAAAATAATTTTAATCAATATTTTTTTAACTAAAGTCAATTATAATTGACTTCCTTGTATAACCGAAGTCGATTATAATTGAATTCTTTATTATCAAAAAATATTTAAATTAAAATTAATTATAATTGACTTCTTTATACATATGAAACTTATTATAATTAATTTTTTTTGTTGCACGGTCAAAAACTATTTAAATTTAAATTAATTTATGTATTAAAATTGAAGACAATTTTAATTGACTTTTATATTATTGAAATTAAGATATTTTTATAAAAAAAATTATTTTGCTATATATAAGTAATATTTAATTTTTTATTTTATTTAGATAAAAAATCGACTATAATATATTGTACATTACGCATCTGGATCGGTTGTTGTGCAACCTCCTGTAAAATATGGACATAATACAAGAAGCCCTTGGGCTTCTCCAACTTGATAACACAGGCACCAAAATTTTGGAGCTACAGTTGTTTTAAGAATTTGAGGTAACTTTACATATTTTAAAACAACGAGATTTATGGTTTTAAAAAAACCATTTTGAATTTTAAAAAAATGTTTTAAAATTTTTAAAAATAATTTATTTTATGAATTTTTATAAAAGATATAATTATTACAATGTTTTAATTATAGTATTTTAAAAAACAAATGACCCTTTATTAAAAAATAATTTAACTAAAGCAAGCAACTACTTTACTAGTGAACACTGATATTTATGTCTTCTTAAGGATCTATTAACACTTTTATTTATCAATTTATGTTTGTTTATCAGCTTAAATTTACAAAATCTTAAATTATCTTCAGTTCAATTTTTTTTATTAAAGTTCAAATAAGTATGTTAATATTTATTAATTACTCTTGCCTTTTTTTTCCCTAAACCATTCCCTCTATTCCTTACGTGATTTTAATATTTATTCTGTAGATGTAACCGGTTATTATTTTATATGAACACGAATTTAACACATCAGTAACAATAGTAATAATTTATTTTGATTATAATTATAGTTATGCTGCTCGACTCAAAACATAAATTTCAAAGAGATTTATTTAACACGGTGAAAATTACTCTACCCCACCAAATCTAGTGTAGAGGGACCAAAAAGTGGGGTTCAGAATAAAGTTGAGCATTACATTATCGTTTTCTATGACACTACAGTCCAGCTTTTGTAAGGATGTGCGGTTCGCTGTGTAACCTTTGCTTTCTGTTACTCTTCTTTGTTGCCTTTCCTTGAGAATAAGCATTTTTATGAATTTTTATCTTCTTTTATTCTCTTTTTCAATCCTCCTTTTTCCGAGGATATTCATCTTCCACTTATTTTATTACTCATTCTCCTTAAATCATAAAATCTATTTAATATTATTTTATTTTTAAAACAAAGACTCTATCATTTCTACAATTCCTGATTCTTTTATTATCATAAATCTATTTTTTTTTAAAACTTTATCTAATATCTTTGACTATTTTAGAATTTTTTAAGTCAATTTTTTAATTTTAAAATTGAAAATTTTAAAATTTTAAATTAATTTTTATCAATTATCTTGACTTCTTATAGTTAACCATTATCTTTATTTTTTATTTTAAAATTTTATTTTATTGCTTTAGAATGAGACTTAGATAAAATGATTTATTCACGTTAAATAACATTGATGATACTTAATATCTGTACTTAAATTTTGTTAAAAAAATGTAAAAAAAAAGACAAGGAAAAATAATGTCAGAGGGAAAAAAAACCCCTACAAGTCTACAGGAGGCTCAAATCAATGTACCAAAGAAAAATTTTAAGTTGACACTAGTGCAAAGTAAACGGAAGAAAAAAAAATATGATGAAAATTATGTTTCAAATGATATAAAAATATAATTTGAAGGAATAAAAACAAGCATAAAAGAGCCTTAAATCCTTAAAATTAAGTTGATATAAATTGAGATTTGAGTATGCTCACTCGATCAAGCATGCAGCGTAATCCTCAGCCACTAAAAAAAATTGACAGCATTATCAATTTCACATTTAAATAGATATAAATCTACGTTCAACTTCACGTTATTAATTATAACTTTTACATTAAATTTATATTTGTAAATTTTTTAAAATACACACAAAGAAAGCACACGACGACATGTGCCTCCTTCTCTTTTGCGTCAAAAGGGTCAAAACCAAACTGTGAGAAGGAAAAAAGGCAAAGGGAATGCTTGACGAACGAATTATAAACGAAAGAAACTAAAGTCAAAATATTTGCTGGCACTTAACCGAGGCCATTGGGTGTGCCTCGTGGGAAGCCTTTGAACAATTGAGCACTTTTGAAGGATAAGTATTCGTATGCAAGTTTATAACATACATAAAAAAGAAGAAAATCTCAATATTATTACAACTATTATTGTGTTTTATATATCTTCTTCTTTTTTTTCCTCACTGTCCAATAAGTATCTTTCATCTTTTTTGTTAAGAAGTGTCTTTCATCTTTAGTATCATAATATTTAACCATCCCAGTAACAAGTAACCACTATAAATCCCACACAAAATTAATTGGCAGAGAATGGATAATAAACTTGTATTATACAATCTTTTTTGTAGAATTTTTCGATCATAAAAAGAGATAAAAAAAATGTGAGAATTGTGAGATAAGATAAGCATAATAAAAGAGAGTTTTAAAAAATACTGTTTGAATATTACAATTGAAATGGATATTTAACCATCGTTCACGTACCGTGATCATGTCCCATCGTTTATCCCGAATAAACATTGCTTAAACCAAGCTCAGCATGAGAATGAATTCTACTAATCTCGCCTATTATTTCATCAAGAGCAACTTCATCTTTAAGTATTGAAGCATGCGACACCCCACCGATCTTGATCACTTTGAGGTATTGATTTCTCTCATCTTTCCATAGTGACTGAAGCGCCAACAAGCTCACATTGTTCACCGTTCCATCACCATCACCATAAGAAATTTCGGGTCGTTCATCAAAGTCACCGTTTCTGTAAAGCAAAATCTCCAAGGTTTTCACGCCCGTCCCTACAATACAAGTTATAGGCACTTCTGGTGCTTGAATGTTCCCTATCAAGGGTAGAATGCGAGTTTCATAAGGATACACCCCTTCAGGATAACCAATGTCTTTGAGAAAATCAGCCATATCATGCGCTGAATAGCTCTTATTTGGAGTGATCACTATTGGGTTTTGAGGACCAAAAATCATGGGGTTGGGCAAAAGCCATAGGTTGCTCTCAGAGCTTCTCTGTTCACCCCTCACTATCAAAGGGTCCACTAGGGGAACTCCAAGAGTGTTACCAGATGCAAAGGTGAACATTTCGTCTACAGCACCACCCCATGGAGCTGAAAGAGCTATGAAGTGTTTGATGAATTTGTTGCGCCAAGAGGGGGGGTTTCGATTCAGGAGTTGTAGGACAAATAGGCCTCCTAAGCTGTGGGAGAGAAGTATCACTGGCTTCCCACCATTGGAAGTGCTTGCTTCTTCTATCAAATTCTTAAGGTCTTTCAGGAACTCGGTGCCCACTTTTGAGGGGTGACCTTCGGCCGCTAGACCATATCGAAAATCATAGGGTGCTCCAAACAGAGTCTCACCATCGGTATAACCAAGCTTTTGTAATGAATCTACCAAGGGTGCCATGTATCCGGTGATAAGCCTATTCATGTAAACGTTATAAGGTACGTTTTATTAAGAAAAATGTAAGAAATACAAGTATTCCTGTAAACGTTATAAGACTTCTATATTTTAAATTTGGAGAAATGTTCGTTACTACAAATTCATTGTACGAATTATTATGAAACTTTTTAAAATTTAATATCTATCCAATAAAAACGGACTAACTGCCTAAAAAATCTTATTGAAATTTGAGGGGAAAATCCCAACAAGTAGCGATTAAAAAAAAAGAAAGAACGGACTTACTTCAAACGAGGATTGAGATAAAGAAGGGAGCGGGTGGAACCAAAGTGAGGGACCCGAGTCTGAACCCCAGGGGTATTGAAGTAATCATCGAGTTGAGGGTGGTAGTGAAGCATCATGCGGTCTGCAAAGCATTGAGTGAAAGGGGCGAGTAGAACGCTGGAATCAAACCATAGTCTGAACCATCCATTCTTCTGCTTGATAAGAGGGTACCATGATTCGCAAATAAAACTAGAGGGCTTGTACTCATGCGTCAATCTGGCTTCTAGTTGGTTCCCTCCATTACCAGGTACTAGAATCAACGGATGCAGGTTGCCGCTAGTGCTAATTGCTCCACACGTGCAAAGCAATGACAGCATCACAACCACTGTCACTGTGTGTTCCTTCATCACAATTTTATGAATAATAACAATGGATTGAAATACCTACCCTACCCCTTTTGGCTTCTGGGATTTGTTTTTTGTGATCCTGTACTGCGGATTGCGGGGGGGATATACTGGGGATGAAGAGGAAAAGTGTAGCCTTTGGTGTGGTGGAGATTTTTTTCAACTTAATAATAATGTGAAAGAAATTGGGCAGCTAAGGTGCCACGTTGTCACTTGTTTATTACCTATCATTCGTTCTTCTTCCTGTCGGGGTCAAAGAAAACCGTTCATTTTTTGGGTCACGGTCAGACTAAATTTGTAAGGCCTCAAGGGATCCATTAAGGCCCAAAGGCTAACAAAACGCTTTTCAGAATTTTTTTCCAAAAAAAGGTTAAGGGATGCCAAAAAATGAACTTTTTGAGGGAAATGAAAATGGAATTTACTGATTCGTACAATAACTTTTTAATATTTTCGTAAAAACTTAATATATTCACCTTATGTGGCGGAAACAAAAGTAAAAAAAATTATGAAGATAATTCAATCTTAAAAAGTAACTGTCTAATTTTAAACAAAGCTTATTAAAAATAATTAAACATTGAATACGAATGACTACGCCGTCTACGCGATTTCTGTATCATATATAAGTAGCTATTTGTGTTTAGTTTTAGTCTGTATAGATTGAACAGGTTTCTCTGCTGCTGATGGTGTGCCCTAGTTTTTTTTTTTTTGGTGTTTCATAGTTTTTAAATGCTTCCTATTTCGTTTTGAATTTGTTGACTTACTTTTTCGTTTGTTAGAAGTATTTCTACTCCAACGTGTGGTGGTGGTTAGTTGTCACGGTCTCTTGTTATTATTAAAATCTATTGCTACAGTGGCAACCTTTTCAGTGTATCGACTAATCAAATATAACCGTGAAAAAATAACAATTAAATATATGTTTTAAAATAAATAGAAAATATATATATGACGTCTCTTTCAAATATTATTTTTAGAATATTTACATTTATTTTAGTTTGAAAAGAGAAATAAAGGCTTAAACATATGACATGTCAAATATAATAATTTATACATGGAATTCAAAATTTATATATATTATCACTGACAATTTTTGAAATTTTATATATTTTTTATTTTTTTCTAAAATACCATATTTTAATAATTGTTTTCCATATAAAAAAAATTGCTCCTAAGAAATCGGCCAACTTTATTTTAACCTGCACACAGAAGATGTGTTTTCTATCTTTCATTTATAATTAAAATAATTGCTTTGAATGTGTCAGATCAACACAGGCTTATGCCGGATCAGCATATTCTACATCGTTAATTTGTTTTAAAAAAGGTTTTTTTTAATTCGTCCCAAAAACTGGGCCGAAATTAAAATACCCTTTATAGGAATATATGGTTAAGTTTGAAATTTAAGTCAATGACAATGATTCAGTGACAACAAGAAAATATGCTGCATTTATCGGTATTTTTCAATTAACTTGAGGTCACTGCATTTATCGGTATTAATTGACATGCGTCGATTTTTAGTTATTGTCTTCAGTCAACAATTTACTTTCTTAATTATAGAGAAAAGTTGTTTAGTCCCTTATTTTTTAATTAAAAATATATTTTTGTTAACGTCAGCATTCAGAATTTATTTTCAATATTTATTTTTATATATAGTTGTTATATAATAAATTTTATTCAATAAAAATAATTATTTTTAATGGCTTAAAATCGATTCATAAAATTAATATTGAATTTTTTAAAAATAATATCTGCATTTAATAATATTTATCAATTATTCAGGGAATGAGAAAATTCGAACATTACGTTACTGCCTGGAATACTATTAATTGACATAAGTTGTAGGTTTTATTTGGTCGTCGATCAATATTCAGTTATTTAAGTGAATTGGACTTGGTATATCTTCAATATACAGGACTATAAAAATGTGATATTTTCTTATATCATTGACTATTCGCAATTTCTTAATAGTATTATTAAGTATATATTTTATTTATATTGGTGTTTTTTTAACGCACAGATTCTTATATTTTACTTAAAAAATACTAAACTGTGTATTTAACGCTTTAAAAGTTTATTTGATAATTGATTTGGTTATTAGAAAATTTTACTATCAAATAAGTCTATGATACTAAAATAGTTGTTATAAATTAAATTAATATTTTTTTTATTTGCGTCATCTAATTTTTATAAAATAATATTGTAAATGTTTTTTAAAAATTAATTAATATTTTAGTTAAAAAATATTAGAAACCAACTTATAAAGATTATTGATATATATAACAAAAAAAAGAAAGATTATTGATATATCTTGTTTGTCATATATTGTAATTGCCGTATTATAACAAAATGACTATATTATAACTATATATTACTGTTTAAATTATCTACGTCAGATCTTATTAAAATCTATTATACACGAATGAGATGCTTAATATTATTAAATTTATTTAAGACTATGCACATTTTTAAAAAATAAAATGAACACAAAACATATTTATAAAAATAAAAAAATATACTTTAACTAAAATGGAGAATTGATTTGGAGGTTGAAATTTGAAAAGTTATTGAATGAGGAGGGCTACAATTATTGGGAATTCTGAGTTTAGTTGTTGGTTAGATAGTGGTACAAAATCTTCAACGACATAATTCTTTTTAGTTGTCAAGGGCAGCCTTCTATTTCTTCTAGAAGACTCGAGCCTCCTGTTTATACTCGTTTTCAATGTCACAGCTTAATTCTTGCTTCATCTTTTTTACATGTTATTTAAAAATATTTTCTCTTTCAGTACTCTTTATAAAAAAATAAATTAAATATTTTACTAGTTTTAATTATAAAAAACATACAATATATTTAAAATATATTGATTATTAAATTGTTTATACTTTTATTTTCTTATTAAATATATATTTACAAGATAATAAATATACTAATTATATTATTTAATATCATAAATATTTTTTAATAGAAATTATATTTATGAAAAATATATTTGAATTAATTATTTTTTCAATATTTATAATTTAATTATTTGTTTCTTATAAATAGAATTAGAAGAAGTATTATATGTCAAATTATGAAATTTATAAAATTTTAAAATTTTTAATTGATATTTTTTATATAAAACTAGTTAATTTTTAAGTTCAATTATTTATTTAAAAACTGTTAATGACAACTTTTAAATTTCACGTTAAAAAAACCTAATTTACATTCGCAGAGGTTAGCTAATTTTCTACGGTTCTAAAAGATTTACCGTTTGAATATAGACATTTATTCTCGTGATCTGAATAATATTGAACAAAATTAGAAATTAACATTTATTAAATAAAAACAATTATAAATTACAGTAAAGCAAGATAAAAAAAAAAAAGTATCCAATGTATAGATGTTCGTTATTTTCTACGTTTTCAAGAGTAAACAACTTCCACGGGGCTAATTTTTATATTTTATCACGGATTAAATATAAAATCAATTTTTATTAATAAATTATTCTTGAACCCATTTCAGTAATTTACAACAATAAAATTAATAAAATAGAAACAAAATAAAATTTAAACATATTTATCATAGTATAAAAATTACAAAGTTTTGCTAAATTAAAAGAGAAAAAGGAAAACAGAAAAAAAAGTTAGTTGACAAAAAAATTGCATAGATATAAAAAGTATTAAACGTAATTTTGATGGTATCAATATTAAAAAATGTTAAATTAAATTAAATTATTTATTTACAAGTTGTATAATATTTCACTGAAATCATTAAAAAAATAGTTTCATATCCTGTTATATGTACGAATGTCGTGTTTATTTGAAGCTGTTCGGCAGTTTATTTTACCGCGCGCTGTTTTGTTTTCTTTATTCCCCTCTTATAGAGTTATAGTCCCATGTACGGTGTGCGCCCAAAAAATATCTTAATAAAAAACTGAAATCAACGTTAATTCATATCCAAAACGAAAACGTGTTGTGCATCCCCTTTCATATTATATCACAGTAATTATTACGACAGAAAATAATTGCTTACCACACAAATATTTATTAATAACCAAAAAATCAATTCGTAAATATCCACGTTTCTTTAATTATGCTAGACAGAGGGAAAGCATGTTCAATAAATTGATTCATAGTATAAATAAGTCAGAAATTGGTGTTGAAATGGCACCGGTCCTTCTAATCCAAGCCACCTTTTACTTTTCCGGAGACCAAAAAGAAACAAAAAATTGAACAACTTGATGACCCAATATAATAATAACATAAGGTAACGCGCTGCAGCCTTTGATCTTATCTTTTTGTTTTCTGATGTGGTGTGCTCTGAAAAAGTCCGTGTGATATTCAGTTTCTTACCCACCTTCCTCTCTAACGCAACTCAACTTGTCGCTGACCACTACAAAAACCATTCCCTTCTTTCTTTAACCCACTTACCATTATCTCATAAACCGTAGCACCTTCATCTAAAATTTTGATTTTTTAATTACAAGGTTGTGTGCTTTTTCATTTTTTTATAGATTCTGTAGTTAGAGATGAGGAAGGGGAAACAGCAGAAGCAGAACAAGTTGGTGTGGATCATAACAACACCAATAAGAGTTTTGGGGAAAGCAAGGGACATGTATGTTCGAAGCATAACGAAGTGCGGTCACAGCATGAACTATAGCAACCCCGTTGATGCTGCTGGCAGATTCGAGGCTTTGCCCAGAAGCTACAGTGCTGCCACGTCACGCTCTGATAACGAGGATTTTGCCGAGCTTCTGAGAGCAGCTTCCGCCAGGACTTTGGTCAACAGAATTGATGTCGATTTGGCCCTCAAACAGCAGGCATCGGCCCAGCCCGTTTCGTCGAATGGGTTGCCCAAGTCCACCAGTGTTGGTATGGGCCGGATCGATGAGGATAAGCCTTTTGATTTGGGTGAAGGGGGTCTTAATGGTATGCCCAATTCGTATCCCAGAAGTAGAAGCTACGCTGTTGGAAAGACTAGTGGTGTTTTGTGAATTCTGATTTGATTCAATTTCTCTGAATGAATGAATGAAGGAATGCGTTCTCAGAGAGATGTTCATTTCTGAGGATTTGATTGATATTTTATTTAATTGGAATATCTTGTGATTTGGTTTTTCATTTTGGGTGGTCTGTAAATTGAAAGGAATGTTTTGCGTAACAATTTTGATATATAAACATTGCAACAGTATTAATATTTGTTTAATATACAATGTTTATGAACTATTTTTCATTGTGTGAAGTGTTTTTTTTTTCTCAGTGTCTCTCTAATAGAAATGCCGAGTAAAAATACCTTAGAAACAAACGCAAAGCATGCTTAATGTTTTTGTTTAACAATTAAACAAATAGTTGATGGTAATTTAAAATGTTTCTATTTGTTTTTCTTGCATGGATTTTGCTTTTATGGATGGCGAAAGAGAATTAAGATTATGAAACTCGTTATTAATTGGTGTCTCTTCAGTGGAAGATAGTAGTTGGGAAGAACGAGTCCATTTAGAAGAAAACAGAATAATAATGCTAAAAAGTTGTATGTTGGTAGGTGAAAACTATAAATGAAACAACTGAGTTTCTGACTTCCGTCCATAGCATTTAGGACGGCGATGTCTAAAGGGTCAATCGAGTTTATTCAGCTCCATATCCAACGGGATGAGCATAAAATTAAAAGACTCTTGTTTTTTTAAGGTTAAGTTTCAACATTTTAATAATAATAATAATTTTTTATTACATTAAAGATATATAAATATAATAAAAAATTATTATAATTTTTTGTTTAAATTATAAGTGTCTTTTACTAGATATGAACAATTTTAGTGGTGGGTTAGGAAATAACAGTTCATTTGAGTACATTTAAATTTTATTATAATAAAAATTTAAAAAAAGTTGGTAAAAAATATTTTTTAAAATATCTTTTTGTTGTTTGTTACAAAGAGATCTTAAATAAAATTAAGCCTTATACTTAAAAAGAATTTTTAAATTTATTAACTACTAAACTCATTGTCATGCTTCAAAGGTTAAAAATGATTTCAAATCTAAATATTAAATATTTTTTATGTTATTTTAATACAACAAAATTATAAATTTTATAATAAAAATTATTTTATTTTTCTACAGGTATGCTAAATTTATTTAAGATGTAAATAAGTGATTAAGAAAAAGCTTTCAAATAACTATCAAACATATTTTGCGTGAATATAATACGTGTTCTAATTTTTTTAGCTAATTTTTTATATTGTAATTTTAAAAATTGAGTTTCATCTTGTAACTTAAAATTTCAAAACTAATAACAGGAAGTCACATATTTTAAATTGTATTTTTTTTATCTTTTTCTTTTATTTATTAATTTACTTTCTTCTAAAAATATATATGTCTTGTAACATTTACTTTTAGGTTTTTTTTTTAAAGATGTACTTGTTTTTTCTCATAATATTAATTATTTTGAAAAAATCTTAAATTACAAGCGTTAATCATTTTGATTTTATAAAAAAATCATTTAATTTATAATTTTTAAAACTTAATATACTCTAGTATTTTAAATTTTCTTATTATCATAAATACTTTTTTAAAATTAAGAATATAAATGATACTTTTATAATAATTTTAAATAAATAATGCTTATAATTTTAAACATTAGCACCAGAGTTTACTCTAATAACTTAAATAAGACAATTTTTGCATTCCAAACGGCAAGATAAATAAATATTTTTTTTATATATAAAAGTATTTGTAAATATAAAAAATAAATAAAGGATAAAAATCTCTTTACTTTCTTAAAATATAATCATAATTACATTTTTATCTTTATTTTTATTATTCAATGGATTTTAGAAGTCCAAAAATAAAACAATAAACTAGATAAATAACCTAAGCCAAAAAATTTAAGGAAATCTAGCCTTAAAAAGGTTCTAAAGAAAATGGGCTATATCAAAAACAATAAGATAACTAAACTTTACACTCTAACTCAATTATCCAATTAGCATATTAATTAGCTTATCTTAAAAGGTAATTAAATCTACAAATTTGATATTTCTGGGGAGGTTTTTAATTTTCTTAACAACAAAAAACAACTGATTATTATTCTAAACATTAATAATTAAAGAAATAATTTCCTTACGGTCTCACTTAATCTAAATAACATAAAAATTCCTTAATAAAATTAGTTTAAGACTCTAAAATATTCTCCAAAGCTCAGCTGGAGAGCAGAAATGGAAGGAATTGTAAAAATTGGCAATGAAAGAGCCTTTGTGATCATGGATAAGACCACACACTCAATCATAAGTGCATTTTTCACTCTCGTATATCAACTTATACACATTACACCTGCATTTTACGCAATTTTTTTTGTAACTGCACTTTTTCATCCAGTTTATTAGTTAATTTTAACATAATAAAGGATACAAACTAAACTCGTAATTTTGTACAGATAAAATATTTTTAAAAGATAAACAGTCCTTTATTATACTGTTGATCAGAAGACAAGGATTATAATAGAATTGTTGTTTACCAATAAATGAATTTCTTGAATCATCTTATCTTTAAGCATGTTTGCTGTTGGAATAAAAACAACAAAGGAAAAAATCACAAAAGAACAAGTAGAAAAACTTTTCATTCTTATTTGAACCACCAAACAAAATAGCCTTATTTGATTCTGTTGATTTAGACTCACCTGAGAAAAAGGATCAAGTTCACAAACAATGATATATCGAATCGCCCTATCTTGTAACTTGTTCGTTCGACATAGTTGAGAGTAATTGGGCCTTTTCTATTCCTTGGTTACGGGGGAACAATTGAAGAAGGTCTGAATAATAATAAAAAACGAAATGAAGCCTTCGGTGTTAAAAGAAAAAAAAAAAAAAAAAACTAAAAGGAAAGGTTAAAAAAATAATCACGTGTTTTTTTAACATCTATGAAGTTAACAGAAATTTGGAGGGCAAAAAGAAAGTGCGATCAAATATGTTAAATATACGTGTAATTTGCTGAATCTGATATATCAAAATGGAAAGTGCAATTAAAATGATGAAATGAGGTGTGGGGTCGGGGTGTCGATTCAACCCAAACTTACACTATTCATCAATTAAGTAAATCCAGTTAATAATACATTCCTAGATTTTTGTGAATTTCTTTGATAAAATAAAGAGGGTGGTAATACTTTCTCTCGTAACATTTAATAACTTTCTTTTGTATAATTTGATTCTAAAATTAACCATTAAATTATAGATTTTAATCACATATATTATGGGTGCAAAATTTGGGGTTTAGGGTTTATATATATACTTTTAAAATTTATAAAAATAAAGACTCTTTTTTATAACAATTTTACAAACATTTAATTTTAACAAAATCGTACACAAATAATTGAGATAATATATATATATATATATATATATATATATATATAAGATTTAAATGTTAAGTGTTTTATTTTTTGTTTAGAATACGATAATCTATTTAAATAAAATATCTCTACATTTCTTTCACTTTTTTTTTTCCTTAATTTCTCTTTTGTTATATTATATCACATCATATTCTTTTTTTTTTAATAGGTATATGCAAGGCTCAAAGTGTACAACCATTTTTCATTTCTTTTAATTTTTATCCTCGAGTCAGAGCCATTTTTCTCTTTCCAATTACATTAACTCAAACTCAAAATTAGATTGCTATAGGACCTATAAGTTTGAGAAAATATTATATACTGATAATTATGATTACTCTAATATCTTAAAAATTAAAAAATATTTATATATTTTTTTAAATAAATGACTAACTTCACTATCTATTAATATAAAATTAATAATAATAATAATTATTATTTTACATGCCATTGTTTTGCTTTGAACAGCTTTCATAATATTTTACTTTATAAATGGACCAGGATAAACCAAAATATTGTCTTTATTAGTTAGGCAGATTGATTGGGTATTGATTTTTATATAAACAAAATCAACTTAAGATAACTAAGCAATACCTTTTAATCATGGCATGGCACTAATTTTTATATGAACTCTAAAGGTAATTGACTACAAAAGTAGTGATAATAAAAAGGGAAGCACTTTCACAATAGAAACGGGTACCATGGCACCCGTTTGCCTTGCAGCATTCAACTACGACAACAATAAAAAGCTTTTATAGTACAAAACAGAAAAACCCAATAAGAGGTCGTATATAAGCTCAAGTATAGATTCATAACACTCTGTCACAGAACATTGGGCAATCTATCTAAAGAAACTGCAATGGATATTAATCATAGGTTGATGCCGAAACGCAAATATAACAATGATAATAGAATAATCCATAATGTGCCACCACGTCTTCATATAATATCTCATAAATACTTGTTAACTTGAAAACATAACATAATGCAATGCAACTGAACAAATAAGGGACCAAAAGGTCCAAATTTTGTTTTCTGATTCTAGTGTGTTGTTCCTTTTCTTCTTTTGATTTCCCGCAATATATTGACACAAACCTCTAAATCCTTTGTTTATAGATACACAAATGAGAAACTGCAACTTTCTCAGAACAGGGCAAAATGCGTGCCTCTTAGGTACTTGTACTAGCAAAATTGATTAAATACAAACAGAAGAAAAATGAATTATTGAAGATAATAACCGCCCTACAGGCTCCTACATTTTGCTGTTTTGCATCAGTGGTATTTTCAGGACATTATAAAAATTACAGAAAACACATTATACAGTATCTATTGAAGTACCTGTCAACTGCCTTGCATATGGAGGAGGAAGATTTAGATCCAATCAAGGATAGCACTGTAACTACATGATTATGCAGGTGCAGAATTTGCTCTACCACATTTTTACTTGTCACGTAACTCTCTCTTTGGAAGTAAATCAGACCTCCTAAACCATAATCTGAACCTTAAACCTAAAAAACCATGGAAAAGTCATCACATTACATACACACACATACACGTGTTACATCACTTAATGTTTTATAGATCACGTAACAATGCTCTGGAAAATTAACCACCGATACTTTTCTATGATGACAGTTAATTTCCAATTGAAAATGAGACTACCAATCCTACTACTTGCCACATCGACAGTTAATTCGAACTACCCATTTTTCTATTCATACCACCTCTTCTATATTATCACTTCCGAGATTCAATTTCCACAAGATATAAAATCACTTCTAGAAATTAAAATCCATAATTTATTTGCAGATGACTTCTGGAATTTAATTTTCGGTATATATCAAATATACTTCTGAAAATTAAATTCTGAAAAAACAAAAAGAATATCACAGATTGAACTGAAAATTGACCAAGATGGAATAAAGATTACCAATGGGATTTCTGGAGAAGAACTTTAACACCTCATCAATGATTATAACCTGTATCAGAAAGCAAAGGATTAAAAGA